GAGTTTGTCGAAGGCCTGAGAGTGTTTGTCGGTCCAGAGGAATGGATTGTCCTTCCTGGTGAGCTGAGTGAGAGGATGGGCGATGGAGGAATAAGATGCAATGAAGCGCCTGTAGAAGTTGCAGAATCCAAGGAAGGATCTGACCTCAAACAGGTTGGTTGGCGTAGGCCAATCCAAGATGCTTTGCACTTTCTTGACGTCCATGGTAATCCCATCTCTTCCGACAATGAAGCCAAGGAATTCCACGCTGTGTTGGTGGAACTCGCATTTCTCGGCTTTGGCGAATAATCCTGCTTTGCGAAGTGTCTCAAGGACAGAGGTAACGTGCTGATAGTGTTCCTCCAGTGTGTCCGAGTAGATGAGGATGTCATCCAGGTAACAGATGACATAGTGATCCAGCATCGTCCTGAAGTTGTGGTTCATCAGGTGTTGGAATGATGCTGGCGCGTTGGTAAGACCAAATGGCATGACGAGGTATTCAAAGAGGCCGTAGCGCGTCCTGAATGCCGTCTTCCATTCTTCACCTTCAGCGATCCGTAGGAGGTTGTAGGCTCCTCTGAGGTCGATCTTGGTGAAGTATTTGGCCTGTCGCAAGCGATCCAGATGCTCTGAAATGAGCGGAAGTGGGTACCGATTCTTGATGGTTATCTTGTTGATACCTCGGTAATCCACACAGAGACGGAGGGATCCATCCTTTTTCTTGACAAAGAGGATGGGTGCTCCCGCCGGAGATTCAGAAGGTCTGATGAATCCTTTGGCTAGGTTTTCATCCAAGTATTCCCGTAGTGACCCTAGTTCTTTCTCGGATAAGGAGTAGACTGGTCCCCAGGGTGGTTGTTTGCCTTCTTCTAGAGGTATGTGATGGTCGAATGGTCTATGCGGTGGTAGAGTATCCGCATTAGCCTTATCAAAGACATCCAGGTAGGCGTGATACCTGGCAGGTATGATGTCTTGATCCATCACCGGAATGGGATCAGCCGCAGCTGCAGACACATTGGTAGTGTTCCCAAAGGTGACATCCGCAGATGTCGCATCCTCAGATGCCGAAGTAAGAGTACTGGCTTTTTCAAGTGGGGTCTTCTCCCCAGCTTCCCAGTTGGCAGAAGGCTTGTGAGCCCGGGTTGGAGTACTGGCTTTTTCAAGTGGAGGGTTAACTTCTCCAGCTTCCCAGTTGACAAAAGGCTTGTGTTTGTAAAGCCATGGGTATCCGAGTATAATCGGGAATACCCCTAGATGGGTGACTTCAAAGGTTGTAGTTGCCAGTTTGAAGTTGGGTACCTTGATGGACGTGGTGACGGTGTACTTGATGCTACCATAAGAGGATATGGAGCCATCAATCATGTGGAGTTTGGAGGGGTGTCGCTTCTTGGTAAGCGGGAGTTGAAGGGATTTGGCAAAGCGGTAATCCATGAAACACTTTGAAGCGCCAGAATCCAGTAGAGCAGCATATTCCATGCTGGGCTTGGTAGAGTTGGATAGAGTGACGGGAAGGCTGATGTGATTCCTTGCGTCCGAAGTAGAGTCCAAAGTAGAAGATGAGGTAGAAGTAGAATCCGTTGAGTCCAGAGAGTCCTGAGAATCTTGCAAGTCCTGCCTAGCGTTTTGGCAACTCCGCGCTAGGCGGTGGCGTTCTGGGTGCGGAGTGCCTGACCTTTTGACTGGTTGTCACGGGTAAGGATGGCACTGTTCCCGGCTGAGGAGTTGGGCTTTGCAAGTGGACACTTGGCAACCGGATGATCCTTGGCGCCACAGTACAGGCAAAGGTCTTGGTCCTTCCTCCTTTGGTATTCCTCGGAGGTGAGTTTGCCTTTGTTGTTGATGGGCAAGGATGAAGATGGTCGGTCATTCCTGGACGGGAATGATTGACGAGTATAGGTGGTAGAGGTAGTAGTACCGGTAGAAGGGGATGAGCGAGGGGTGAAGTTGTTGTTGTGGTTGGAGTAGGACTTGTTGCCTCCGAAAGAGCGAGTTGAAGTGGTGGTGGTACTGATGAATTGAGTCCCAGACCCGCGTTCCAGAGAACGCTCGTAGAGCCGGTTGTCAATCCGAAGAGCAGTGTCCATCATTTCCTTGAGAGTGTGCGGTCGTCCAACTCTGGCAATCTCATCCTTGATTCCTTCTTTGAGTCCACGGTAGAATTGGGCGGCCAGCGCATGGTCGTCCCATTGAGTGAGAGTAGAGTTGCGTTGGAACTCTGAGATGTAAGAGGATGCCGATCCCTTTTGTCTGAGGGAGAAGATGTTCCTTTCGGCAGTTGCCTCTTCATCAGGGTCTCCAAAGGTGTCGCGGAGAGCCCTGCAGAATTTCTTGTAGCTAGTCATCATCTCTGGTTCCGGGTCCTTCTCCAAGTTGGGTTGGAACCAAAGGAAAGCGGTGTCCCTAAGGAAAGAGGCGGTATAGAGTACCTTGGACCTCTCTGTAGGGTACCGGTTGGGTTGAAGTTCGATCACCATGCTGACTTGGGTGAGGAAGGTAGTCAACTTGGTGCGGTGTCCATGGAAGTATTCCGGTGCGGCAATCTTGGGTTCCGAGGGGCGGACTGCAGGAGCAGCAGGAGCAGGGGAAAGTGATGCGGTCCTACGCAGTTGTTCCTCCATGCGTGCAATAGTTTCCTCCAGTTGGGTAATCCTGTCCCCTTGGGTAGGAGCGCGACTGCCTCCGGTAGTAGACATGGCGAAAAAGGTAAAAGGTGTGTGTGTTGAAAGTGGGGTAGGCGAAATCCAAGAGAGCGTTGCCTAAGCACAAACTTGGAAGAAGAATTATGCTGTTACGGTCGGGCCTAGTGGTAGCGAAAGGCTAGCCTAGGTGGAAAGCGTCAGTGGTAATTGTGCTAAGGCAGAGATACTCAACGGGAAGTGCTTGGTGCGCAATCTGCTTGCTGACCGTGAAGGGCTTGACGAGAACTCCAGTGTTGAGTAGTGAGAGGTGGTTGGGTGGCGAAGGTGTTAGGGATGTAACATATGATAATTCTTCTTGGGAAAGAAGAGAGAACATGAAAGGGAAGTAGTACAAACAGGCTGAACTGGCCAGCTATATATACTAGTTGAGATAGAGAACGTAGACCTAGTATCACAATGTGTAATTACATTGTGCGTTCACATTGTATGGTGTCCGTTGTGGATTGAAGGGTAGGAAGGGAAGGGACAGCACATTGTGTGCTGTACATTGTGTCGGGAACAATGTGAGTGACCCATTGTGTTGGGTACAGTGTAACCAGGTAGTGGCATTGGTAGGCGGGAGGTGGAGAGGAGTACATTGTACTTGGGACAATGTACCCGGTACGTTGTAGGCTGTACGTTGTAATTGGTACGTTGTAGATTGTACGTTGTAGGTTGTACGTTGTAGGTTGTACGTTGTAGGTTGTACGTTGTGTGGAGGCCGAGTTGGGTCGGTCCGTAACAATTTGTGTGGTGGGTTAAGAGGACCTCGTGCAGCTCTTGGTCAAACTCGAGCTCTTGCAAGATGGTCCTGCTCTTGTCCCTATGTTATAGCATCTGCAGTACGCGTACCAAACGGCCGCGTCGGGTAGTTTTACAGGGACCTCCGATGGGAGTTCCATACGGAGTATATCTAGAACACCCCCTATCTGTTTACTGTAATGTAGTACCAGTTGTACTACATCCGTTATTACACTCATTACCTTACCCTTACCTTCTAGTCCCGTGTGATACTATTCCAGGCTTGCAGGCGAGCCTAATACCCTAGTGCAAAACACGGGGATCTTTGTAAAGGAATACGACTGATTTAGCACATACACGACTCAATACGGCCTGTAATAGTAGAATACGAGTATATATGCGCGCATACGTGCTAGTTTGGGGCTTATACAAGATGATACGACTCTATCTTTTTATATGTCTTACGACATACGTTGTACAACCATACACCGTGCTGTGTACAACGTATTAAGCTGTAGGATAGGCCATGGTGGCAAAACCTGGCAATATATATAGCAGACCAGATTGTAGAGGAGAAGTAACATTCCCTCTGATATCTAGAACTCACGCTTCAAGACTCTAGAATCAGAATATCAAATATCTATTCTCAGAACTCCTACTTGATCGTCAGCCACTCTACAAGACTTCTGATAACGTAAGCCAAGAGGATTAGCTACCCATTTGACTAACGTGAGACCTATAGAACGTGACATTTGACTAACGTGAGACCTATAGAACGTGATAACTGTGAAGACAACTGCAAGAACCCGGAACTTAGAAGTAATATAGGAATGCTGCTTGCGGCTAACCTACGTAACTTCACAATCTTCCTTTGGGTCTTCCAATTGCTGAGCTTGTGGTTGCTTGCCTTCCCGCATAGTTACAGCCGACAGGTTTAGATTTAAAGGTTCAGGTGACTTTTGGGGGGAATGTGGCAAGTGCGGTTTACCATTTTATACCAAAATCCATCAAAACCGTCACAATAGCTGCACCATCAGTCCGGAAGCAGCCCAGGCTCAACGCAAAGCGAACCTGCGCTCGACGAGTCTGGCTGTCTACTGGAGTTAGCTACACGACTACCATTTCCCTGCGGGCCTTTCGGCGATGACGGCCATGCCGGCAATGTCCTTAATCAATTTTCGTAGAGGGAGAAGTAGAACCAGAGTGAGCTTGTGGTTGCTCACGATCCACCTCGTCCTGTTCTCCTGAAGAGCAGTGATCATGTTGGCCCTACAATTGATATCATAAGGACTTCCCTCTTCCGGCAACCCGTAACTGTCCCATTCGTCCATGCATGACATGGTGATTTGACAGGATTCCGGACATTGAACCGATCCAGCCCGGCAGACGTCTGATGCTGCGAGCTCCTCCTCATCCTCTTCATTGGAGAGCTTGTAGTCCATACCCTAAGTTGGCGAGATCCTTCGCTTTGTTGCGGCCGGATGGTCAGATCCAGATACGTGAGGAGGGTGTCGGGGTTGACGGCACCTTTGATGAAGACGGCTGGGAATGGCGCAGTTGGATTACGGTCTTCTGGGTCTTCTCAGTGCTCTGAGCCGTTCAAATCGTTGTAGTCGATATTGTCGATATGAGCTAATACGAACACGAAGGACTCGCTGGGGAGCGGTTTGAGAGGAACTCTTCTGTTACTCGCCGAGACTCATATCATCACCAGAACTACCTGACGACCGGGACAAGACCTAAATCGATTTTGCATAGCGATTCCTTGACCTTAGTCTAGACCTCACACATCTGCTGTGTACGGTCATCACCTTTGCCCAGCTCCCACACCGTCTCGACGTCATCCGATCGTCAATGGCATTCTTCCACAATCCACCTACGAAGCTGGCCGACTGATCCTAAACGCCTAGCCATGCGTCGACTCACACCGACCCAGTCATTCAACACCACCATCAAGACATGGCTGGTACACCGACCATCTTTCTGGGTCTCCGTCTTTTGTCAACTATGCCTTGGAGTGGCCGTAGCGGCGTTCGTCTCGACGTTCGCTCAACAAGCTTTCAAAGGGGTGGCTAAGCGATGGAATATCGTGATCATCGTCGGGTTGACTGTCGGGGTGGTAAGTCGTCGTCCCGGTACTTCGTAACAGAATACGACTTCGACATCGAGAGCTGATCTGGTGGTCGTGTTGTTGCTCGGCTTGTAGCTGGTATGCTCGGTCGTTCTCATCCTCGGAAGGCTATACCACGTCCGGAGGGTGTTCCAATCGATTCCCAAACCATATATCCCGATCAAAGCTATCGATGTCCCGAATGTGAGTAGCCGGATGCCTTCTCCGTACGCTACGGTCATGGATGAGTGCACCTTACTGACGATCGTCGTTCTTTGGCCATGCATCATGCTCGTACTTTGATCAGGTCGTAGCGAAACATATCATGACGGAATATAACCGGACAGCGGTCATCGCACATCTTTCTCAGCCTACCTCGACACATCAAGAAGGATGGGGACAGCCCGGTAGGTCCAGTCCGAGTCTGCATCCCAGATCGACCTCGATAGACTATAAGCTGACAGTGTGGTTACCGTCTCATCTACCCGTCTTCGCGTTTTGATTTATCTTTTGACTCAATCCTACGGGACGATTCTATCGGGAAATAGAGACTCAATTTGGAGGGATCTATTTCAGGGAACGCATAAGGGCCATGTATACCGTCATTCGTGAGTCCAGTCATGACCGGTCTCTGTCAATTCGTCCGGAAATCTCTACAGTACCTGACTGGCTTGACTTGCATCGTATGACAGTCGAAAGTCTAGACTCCCTGACCCCTACTTCCAACAAGCCTTCCCACAGGGATCGCAGACTACCGAAAGATTCCTTCACCCACCTGACAGCACATCCAGCACTCCCGGAGACCGTCAAGCCGCTTCTGAAAGTGTTTTTGAAACAACTCGAGGCGGCGAGGTATGCGAGGAGCGAGCCGAACGAGAAGGAATTTGAGAATTGTATGAAGGTTGTGGCTTTGATGTTGGGCATGTGAGTACTGGGGCGTTGTCTTCTCGAACTGGGCTGTCTCCGGAGATAGCGAACGGCAAGATCATCAAGCTGATGGATGCGATGATCGGATCGATGAACATGCAGATTCGATGTACAGCGGGCCAAGTCGGGGCAGCCGTACACGCCGAGCTAAGTATGAACGGGATTCTACCTGGTTGTATGTCACTAGTTTGCATTTGTAGACAATACGAAAGAATCGATCGCACTTGTAGGAGCTGCATTTCTGATTTTAGATCAAAGACAAGCAGTGCTGAGGACGGCGAGCCAATGTTACTGCACTCCGCAGGAGCTTAGAATTCCATACTCTACATCAGAACCTTCGAGATAATCACTGTAAAGGAAAGCCGAGATCTGCAAGCCTTTCTGCAGGCGTATTCACATGTTGAACACTTGGTGAACCCCATGATATCGCAGCTTGGACTACTGAATCTTGGACAGACCGTTTGGTCTCACTACATCGGTCAGACGATTGCTACAGATGCGGAAGGCAGAGTACTTCAAGACGAAGGTAGCCCGCCGGAATCCTTCTATGGGAAGTGGATCCAATTCACCCATCGGAATTACCAAACTCACGAGATCAACATCGGTACCTCCCTACGGAGGAGACCGAGTCGATCCGGCTGAAGACACTGATGCGAACCTGGTATGCCTCTCCTGACCAGATCTGCGGGAGCTGGAGCGCGGGTTCGTCCTGGCCAGTGGGGTCAGTCTAAATTCTGTGATGAGGGGGATGCCTCAGGCCCATCTTCAGCCATCAGCTAGGATCCTCAAGATAGCTGGGAGCGTTCACGTCCAAGTGAGTCATCTCATGACTGCTCTGGCTATACAGAACCAGGAGCCACAGCAAGCACTAGAGGCGTCGATAACCCGGATCTTTTGTCACATACAGTCCACCGTCAAAGATAGCCGGATGATTGGTGAGGCTGCTTTTGAGAGCGCTGTCTGTTCAGCAACTAACCTGGTTTTAGATTCCAATCACAAAGTTGCGCAAAGGACCTCTGGCTTGATCTTGCTGGGTCCAGGTATTCCAATCAGGGGCGCGCAGGGCAAGAGCAATTGATGGATTCCAACGGCTGGGCCCGCTGCAAAGCTGTGGAGACGGGTTTTGACAATGTCAAGGACCAAGCGCCCTGCGCCTCATCGGTCTCATCGGATTCGGACCTGGATTTGGAATCCGATGAGCATGCGAGTCAATTGTTTAGTGACAACTATCACAATCATGCCTTCCCAGATACATCTGAAGAGGACTACTGATGCGAAATCAGCGAGAGATATGCGGCCTTTATCGACTTCTGGATCGTGACTCTGGATCATCAGAAAGCTAAGGTTATTATCCCGGCGTGCGTATTCATGGCGTAATATCTGCACACCATAAGGCCATGATGCATCTGTACCATGGGCGCCCATATGTCCGACTATATCGTGAAAGGCTATTTCCATCGCCCTGCACCTGCAAGCAACCTTGAGCCAGATTTACCTGAGTCTATTGGTACTCTAAGCAAAATGTGGTTCACCTGTAACCAACCAGGGGTACCTGCATCGCTTCACAAGGATGTTGCTGAGGCAAAGGATTTGGCGGAAGGGATCGACCAAGCTGATGAAGAGGACGAGGTCAGCCAAGATGAGCCATCCGATCTCAGTCATCCTCAGCCTTGGTTTCATCGATAGAGTAGGCGAAGTCAAGACGGCGCAGGTGAGACTCAATCACCATTGTGTAGTAGTATCAACGTTTCATGCTGGAACCTTTGGTTACAACTCTGCTTACTAACGCTGCTTACACAAACTATCCTTGTGGCGGGAATTACTGGTGTTCTTTGCCAAACGACTGTGCAAACCTCATCGCACTTGGTCCAGGCAGGTTGCAGCGGAGGTTGCGGATTGAGTCTCAGCCATCGCCGCGAGCATGGGACTCCAGAGCAGGCTAAGCGGTCTGTCACGGGGAGGCTAGAATACGTCGACGCGGGAGTTGTTCGGCGGTTCGGGGCGTTTCGGAACTATAGCGGCCGTTTCGTTGTGACTTAGTCCAGGATACAGAAGGTAATGGTATGATGAACTTCGATATCGTCGCTTAGAACCCAATTCGGTTCTAAGCTCCTCATTCTACTCTACAATAGATCGCCCTCCTCTAAACTACGTTGCGGCGGTGTGTTCGACCGGTCGAGAGCGCGTCTTGGGCTTAATCGGGCGGAAAGGCCAAATAAAGGCGCGTTCCGTAGCGCGTCGGGATAAGTCCGAGGTTCTGCTGAGCCGACGTTCCGGTTCCGATCGTCACTCGGTGACACGGTCTCAAGGTCGAGCTTGCTCTTCCGGTACCCTCGCTAGATCCTGCCAGGAACCTTGTGAAAAGCTACACAGTTGAAGACTTTGACAAGGCATCTGCTGCCATGCAAATCATCAGGAAGGCACTTCCCAAAAGTCATGTCATCATCAAAGCGACAGCCTTTGAGCAAGATTAGGGAACAGCACTCGGAATCATCAGGCGTTCACGATCGAGAGAATCGATTCTTGGTGTCGCGTAAAGTAAGCGCATAAACATACCATTACCGCTCGACATGTGATGATACAAGTCTTTGATACATCGCTTCTTCCGTATGATCGTCGTAAATCGTAAAGTACTAGTATTCTCCTCCTCTTCGCCGAAATAATCACCCGGCCTAGAAGTCAATATCGTCGTCATCCAAACCCATATAATTGAAGTTCTTGAGCACGCTCATGAGTTTGGCAAAGTACGCTTCGAGGTGATAGATCTTCTTGTTTCCCTGGGCCATGCGGAGTTCCTACGAGCAAGGAGCAACGTCGTCTTGTCAGCAGGCAAAGATGCATGGGAGACTTCGAAGATCGGTGTAACTTACGTAGTGGGCAGCCCAGTGGATGATGGAGGGCTGAAGGCTCTGGTCGACCTTCAGTAACAAGGCACCGGTGATCGTCTGTCAAGCGGAAACAACACCGTCAGCATACTGGCAATTGAGTCGAGAATGATTCGCTTGCTACCCTACTTACCTTGAGGATCATCGTCGGCGGGATGCAATGAGACAACAGCTCGTACAATCCCGTCCTGACTTTCATCAAGTTTTGAGGCGATTGTTCTTGGACGACCTGGTCGGCGATCTTGCTACAATATGTTTCCCAATCCGCTTTGGCGATATCGATGCTGGATGAGAGGTCCGGACTGTACACAAGAGATAACGCGGGTGTGATCAGTCAGTAACCTCGTACTACACAGTTCGACATGGGGTGGATAGATTGAGGACAGACCTTTGCATACGTAACGCTTCGAAGATGAGCAGAGCTTTTCGCATGTTTCCGTTCGCCTCCTGCATGATCGACAATGCGCTCTCGTCCGGTAAAGTAAGCCTTTCCTTCTTCGCTACGTGTTTTAGTACTTTCAGCATCTGCCACGATCACAATAACGCAAGGAATTCCTGATCAGTCGATTATGTACGTGATGCGATCAGGTCACGGAATTGAGCCCACCTCATCCTCCTCAGGAGCAGCGACCCTGACAAGCAGACAACGACTTCGGATGGGGGAGATGATCTTGCTAGTCGAATTAGCACACATGATGAGCCTGATGTTCGTAGAGTATTTCTCCATGGTCCGACGGAGGGCGGCTTGGGCGTCTCGGCTGAGAGCGTCGGCTTCGTTGATGATGACCACTGTATAAGGGTTGAAAGAGTAGAGAGCGTGGTTTCAGTCAGATGAAGTCAGGGGGATCGAGGAAAAGAAGCAGAAGGAAGAAGGACGAACCTTTGAACTTTTGTTTGGCATTGAGGTCGACTTGTTGCGTCTGAGCGATCTCTTTAAGGATATCCTGGATGACGACCCGGTCGTAGATCCCTACATCACTAAGTATCGAGAACGTGATCCTTTATTAGCATTCCGCTGACCAGCGGGGAGCTCGTAGTCGTCCAGAAACAGACCTTGGTGTAAGTTCAATATGAAAGTTGCTTTGAACCACGTTGACGTCGAGTTTCCGTTTTGAAGGGGTTACGAATACTCGTTGGTCGATCTTGAGCTGTGTGCAGCGATATATACAAAAACAATCAGCTTCGAGTCAGACGTGATCAATTTGAAAGGAGACACATGCTTACCTTCTCTACACCCGGTCCGTACAGCTCTCGCAGTGTGCACATGATTCTCGTCTATTCGTCGCCAATATGCATGCCATCAGCCATCTCTGCAATCGACTTCAAGCACAGTTACGTCTCGACTCACCTTCTTTCCAGCCCCACTCGGCCCATAGACGAGCATATGCGGGAAATCTCCACTGCTCGCTAGAGATCGCAGGCGGTCTGAGAGTTCAGAGTGATAGTGTAGCTCCGAGAGCTGGCGAGGCCGGTACTACGATTGCAAGAAGGTGGTACAGTGTGAGCACAAGATACCGGGAGCTCGGGGAATGGCGTTTGTTTGATGTTCACCTTGTCGACCCAGAGCGACATTGTTAGAGAGTTCTCAGATAATAACTAGGATGAGGCTAGCGAATATGAGATGTATCTGTAGATGTTCGTGATCGCTTGGGGTTCAAGATGACTCTTATATCTCTCGATCTTTGGAAAGAGATCGCTTCAAGGTTCAAGGTGCTCGAGTTTCGCGAGATGGTCGCGTTGACCGCATGACCGATCGGCTAACGCTTTACAAGAAGATAGGTATACCGGGCCGTTTGTAGCAACGGTGGATTTCTGGATTTCTGGAGAAGCATTCGGAATCACCTTGCCACACGCTGACGGGATGCAGGGATGAGGAAAGGTATGGGTAGACATGTGAATGTGATGACAGATGTAGATTTGTTACAGGATACTCATTATACATCATGTGAGAACGGTCAGAGGTCCTGGTCTTGATATGGTGCAACTCAGCAACCACTAGGCGGTGAAGCTTGAAATGGAGCCTTCGGAATGATAAGAAGAGAAAAGTCCCCATTGGCAATCTTGAGAAGAGCCTGCTGTTGCATTCAAGCAGCAGGGCTGTTGACGGCTACCCGATGAATGGAGGCAAGCGGCATCTTTGCGTCGTCTGAGATGGGATGTATTGAGTGTGATGGGATGGCTCTGGATGTCACAAGCTCTGGTGAGCCGTATGAAGATGTGTCGAGTGTCTAGTTATTCTTCGTTGTTTTTGTCTTTTCTGCAGGCTGTATGCAAACTTCTTGGATTTGGATCGGTCCTTCTTGTCATTTCGAGCCAGAATCAAGGTCTTTTTGAAAAGTCAACATGCCAAAAGCGGCCGCATCAGGACCTTCAAAATCGGCTTCGACCAGGGTGAGTGGTGTGTTCATGGTCTTGGTCGACTACATGTGTACTGTGATATATATTTGCAGCCATCCACACAATCCACTGCAAAAGCTTTATACGTGAAGAACAGGGGAAAGGGGGAGGGGGAGGCGGCAGGAATGCCGACATTTGTGGCAAAGGTCGTGGTGGATCGTTTGTATAACTCTCCTCGATCCATGCTGTTCGTGCCTTGGACGCGTTTTGGATTTTGAGTTGGCTGTGATTGTTGAGGTAGTAGGGCGTTGAAGTGGCCGCTACGATGAACGAGGTGAGCGATATCGGCATCGTGGGCACTGCGACCATGGGGAAAGAACCGAGGTGCCATGCGATCAGTATCCAAAGTCATGAATACAACGCAGATGTTGATCTATAGAGGCACACGTAAACACATAGACACAAGACATGGGGTAGCCGAGATTTTCATACATACAACTCACCTCCAAAAAGTCTGCAACCAGCTCGAGTTCTTCTACCGCAATTGTTTGACCCGGCTTAGCAGCTTCTCGCCGGAGGGCCCCAAAGATAATTTGATCCTTCCCAGTGCTGGCGGAGTGCCGCTAGAGATGCAGGGATCGAACGAAGAGATGGATGTGGATGTGGATCAAGTCAGTACTAGTTGTTTGTTGTACAATCACAAAAGTTCCTTGCAGTACCTAATGTACCATCTCCGCATCCGATGAGACGTCAAGGTTCCCAGTGTATCTAACGATACCGATGAACAAGGACTTCTTACGATCCAGCATGAGTGATACTTAAGGTACGGCGCATCTGGTCATGGGCTGAGCTGTGAATCGCCAGGTGACCAATTCCGCATAGCTACCCCTTTGTGTGCGGCCACGATTAATCACAAGCTCATAAGACCGTCATCCTCTCCCGGAACATGGAGGTCGCATGAGAGTGTCTGGGTGTACGTCTCTCGCCGTTCCGCCGCCCATGTACTGTGTATCTCATGCTCTGGGGTCTTACGGCCTCGAGGCTCAGAAGTCAAATCACGTTAGCATATCCGAACCTCTTCGATTCGCTTCACAAGACAAGACGATCCGTCATTGTCGTTGTCACCCCTCAACCGCAGAATAGATGCTCTACCTCGAACTGATGATGTCAAATAGTATACCCTAGCGATCAAGCAGATTTCTCCATTCGTATCCCCTGCATCGCCGTATTCTCCTGACGGACATGCATGTCACCACAACCCCGGGTTCCTCACCAGGTCATGGTCTTCTGGTACTCTCCTCTCCACTCGCAAACGGAGGTCGATCCCGGTTCTCCAGCCTCTCCGCATCATACCCTCTCAAACTCTTATCTCCCTCACCTCTTACCTCGACACCGGAGAACCTGGGGACGTGCTATGTGCTCGCTTACGGAGGAGGACTGGTAGCGGGGGATGAGATCAGCTTGGATATCGTCGTCCAGGCTGGGGCGGGGTTGTTGCTCTTGACGCAGGGGAGTACGAAGGTGTTCAGGGTCAGACCGGGGTTGAGGCCGTTATCACTCGGCCCGCAACGGAATCCCGGGAGTGGGAAGGATCATGGGAAGACGATTCAACGACAACATATCCGGGTTGAACAGGACGGATACCTCCTCCTTCTTCCCAACGCCGTACAGCCGTACGCCTCGTCGTCATACCATCAAGCACAACGAGTCACCTTGCAAGGCCATGGGTCGAGCGTCGTCCTCCTCGACTGGTTCACATCCGGAAGATCTCTGTCCGTCTCAAAGACGTCGACAAGGGGGATTGTAGGCTGTGGGAAGACGAAGGAAGAATGGGAGTTTGAGAGGTATTCGAGCTTGAACGAGGTCGTCCTCGACGGAGAGGTGATCATGCGGGAACGTACGGTGTTGGACAATGATAACGGGGACGAAACGATACCATCAACAGAGACACCAACAGCGGCCAAGGGAACAATACCGATACCGACCTTGGCAGATCGTATGCGGCCGTACCAGACCTACGCTACTATGCTCATCTACGGCCCACATTTCCAAACCCTCCTCAAAGCTCTTCAAACGCTCTCACAGGATCCCAGTCAAACGCAGTTCCAAGCTCAACGGCCGAACGGGACGTTACTCTGGTCTTTCAGCCTCGTCGGCAAGTCGGCTAGTAGGAGCGGGGATGCACAACAAGGTGGGGTCTTGAGAGTAGCCGGGGTGGAGACGGAGGTCGTGGGCGAGTTCATCAGGGGCGTTTTGGAACGGGGAGGCGTAGAACGATTGGTAGGGAAGGGGCTTTGGGAGAGGATTTGGTGATCCCAGGGTACGGCCGATCGAACGGGAAGATGGACACGATCAATCGGTCCCTCACCGCGGGAGGCTCGAGCGAATACGTGCGATCTGTATATCATCAATAGATGTACTATCTGGTAGGCCGGGATATCAACATAGGCAACCTTCCGGCCATCACTTGGGGCGACCAGGACCTGAAAGTCCTTCCGCTCAAAGCGCACGATTCGTCGCCCGGAGATGTGCAATAAGCTCGACGAGTGATTGACGTGGGCAAGCAAGCTCGGGTGACCCAACCTATCAGGCAGGGCGATTTACCAGGCTTGCATCGACTTGCTCGAACAACGTCTCGTTTGAACAAAGACAACTGAGTACCCTGCACTGTGTCAACATCTGGACAGCGAAGGGAGTGATCAAAAGCTCCATGGTAATGATTACATGGGCCCTGAGATAAAGGATGGTGCCGTTTAGTCAACTACAGATGTTCTTGCATTGCTTGCAGCTCCGTTACTACCCTACATCATCGGATGTAAATATCGGTCATCACTGATCCTGAGTCACTTCCTGATCAAAATGATCGAAATTGATGATGCGATATGGTTGGCACCTATTCACAGACGTAACATTCTGTTTATACCTTCACCTCAATCCAAACCACGGATATCAGTCAGTACTGAGTCTCAATCATGGCATCTCGCCATACCGGACCACCCCGCAAGCGGGCTTGAATCTCAGAGGACTTGGGGATGGCGAAATTGAATCACAACGGGGGGTACACACCCGGTAAGCGGGACTGAGGTGGATCAGACTTTTAACTTGGTCGTTGATCTATCAATTTGCGGTCTCACCAGTCTTCTGCTCGCTCGATACTTTCTTGCGAAACACTGTATACCCGAAACGACAATGATGGCACCGTAGATGATGAGAGTCGAGATCCAAGGTCCATATGTTGCCGGACGGCCTGTTGCTTCTCGCTTGTCAGCTTAATGATATGCCTCGATTTCCTGACTGCGCACAACTAGTATATATAACATCCCCGCTCATCTAAAAAGGTCCCACAGTCGGGCTATTGTAGTTGATACAAAAATTCGATTCCCACTCGACAGCGACACCGTTTCGTGGCCGTGGTCGCGCTCATCGGTCACCTCTCCGTTCGACCCATTCCGCTCTGCTGCGTTGCTTCGCCGCGCCGTCTCGTCTCGTTGAGATTGTTGAAATAATACACCCACATCCGATCTTTTCGTCTTCCCGTCTAGCTGGTCATGGCGGAGACGACGGTCAACCAGACCCAGACGATAGCGCCGGTCAAGATCGGGAGGGTGAGGTTGTCGTCGTACCCCAGGTCTGACGCGTCGAGGGAGGTTTGAGAGGGGATAGTTAGCGACAAATTTCTCGTCATCTTCGTCTTGGGGCAGCAAAGGGGGGAATATCCAAGGAGAAAAGACGGGGAAATCGTTCAAGACGAGACTCACCTAACGCCTCGACCACGGCCCCTGCAATACCCAAAACTCCCGCCGTCGCCCACCTGCCCCAACCTTCTTTCAAGAACGCCCATCCGCCCAGCTTCTCTCCAGACCAACTCGTCAGATCCACATTCCCTCCCCACAATTCTCCCCATCCCCCATCCGCCCTCTTCCCACCCGCCCAGTAAGATAAGCCGATGAGGAAGCCGGTAAACGCCGCGGCTAGGAACCCGGCTAGGGATTTCCGAGGGGCGAAGGGGATGTTCGTGAACGGGAGGTAGGCGGGAAGGGGAGGAGTGTGGGAGCCGAGGAGACGGCCGATGGTTGATGCTGCGGTGTCTGACCATGAGAGGCTGTTGTGGTTCGACCAGGACATGTCGGACGGGAAAAACGAAAGCGCAAGAAGAGAAGAAGAAAAGTCTTTTGGTTAGTCCGTGTTCCCAATTCCCAGAGAACAACGAGCGATGCAACAGAAAAGGACAAAAACAAACGGCTCTCGACTACTCACGTCAAGATGCTAACAACAGCCACATCCCTCGGATAAACCCCCAACGTAACGACCACCCCAATCAAATACCAAATCACGCCGTTCCACCCTTTGACTTCCTCTTTCCTCATCAACGGCCCGCAGACTTTGATATAAAGTTTGTTGAAGGAAGGAGAGTTGAACCGGAGTACGTCGGTAGAGGTTATGATGATCAGGGCTGTTGTGAGGGTGATGAGCAGGGGGCGGAGGGTGAGAGGGGTTTGGGAGCGGAGGTAGAGGACTAGGAAGCCTGTAAGGTAATGTAAGGCAAGGCGAGCGTGAGGAAGAGGATCGTAGCCGTACCAGTATCAGTAACGATACATGTATGGCGGTTATACGTAGCACGAGCAAGAGTCTGCCCGACTGCTCACCTATGCTCCCGTGAAGCGTCTTCCTCGGGACCTCCCAATCCGTCTTCTTCTTCTTCTTCTGTCCGACCCGCTCTTTCACCTCTTTCACCTCGGGGTCCTTCTTGGAGAGGTCTTTGGTGAGATGTTTCATCTGTTGTGTGACGCCGTTCACTTTCATCTGAGCTTGATCTTGGTCTTGGTCGGAGATGAGGTCAGAGGTTTCGAAGACGGTGTGATGGCTCGACATGAGATGATTGTTATTTTTCGAGTTCGAGTTCGAGTTTGAACTCTTCTTTGCCGGTGTTTTTAGGTAAGCGGTCGGTACGGGGGATTTCGACTGAGTGGTTGAGGTTGAGTGGGGGGTCTTGCCGTTGATTGATCGAGTTTGCGAATTGATCTGAGTATTGGTGGATCGTTGTGATGCGTGATCCTGCTTTTTCCCATTCCCATTCCCGTTGCTCGTCCCATTCCCGTTACTCGTCCCGTTGACTTTCGCATTCCCGTCGACATTGACCCCATTCGATTTCAATCCACCGTCGACTTTCCCATTCTCCTTGCCCTGCCCCTGCTTTATACTGCTATCTCCATCACTCCCCGTCTGCTTCTTCGACTTTGAGGACTTTGGTTGGTGGTCCTCCAAGACGGCAAACCGGTTGACCGTACTGAATCCTGCGGTGGTCGATGACATCTTGTTCACCTCGAATTGCAGCTTTCGAGCCGGTTTTGTTCGAAGTGGTAGGAGGTGGCTTATCCGATCTGTTCCTAGAGGGTGCCCGTGTGGGTATTATAAGGATAAGAACGAGTGGAGGATGGGGATAGGAATAGTTGGTGAGAGAATGATAGAGTTTTGTTCTGTATGTACGCCAACTTAATTACGTCGGTCCCCCTCCTCCTCTCCCCCGCGCTCAAAGCGGTAATAGGGGGCCGAGGACGAGGGTGAAGTAGATGATGATGATGATTTCATCCGATGACATCCTCGATACCACCTCAGCATATTCAGAAAAGTCAAGTATAGACTAGGAGAACACTACCATGCCACCCACTCGAACGTCGACTTGTCAGGTCTGTCACGAAAAACCGCAGAAATACAGGTGTCCGGTCTGTTCGGCGCCATAGTCAGTCGCAGATTTCTTAGGTTTTGTTACGACTCCTGGCGATGTGGCTGACGTTTTTCTTCTTCTCATCTTGCTTGCGATTCGCACGATCGACATTTGATGGTGCTGGTGATAACGATGATGATATGTGCGACGGTGTAGCTGTTCGGTGGGATGTTACAAATCTCATAAAGGTCAGCTCGGACATCTACCCGACTTATTCGTATGTCATCGAAAAGCTGATGATGTGATCATATTCTGCTGTTCCTTCCATTTCTCAACTTCAACCTAAACCCGAACCTGGACCTCGACCTCGACCTGGACCCTGGACTTCATCATGATCCTGATCATTCACGACAACGACAACGACAAACCCCATGCCATCTCATTCACTTTACACTGGATCCTCGGTTGACCCGGACTATTACATCACAACGATGCGGCAAACCCACTATACTACGAACTATCACTCCGAAATCCTGAACGACCGACTACAAAACAAACTCTGATGGGGAAACTTGATCAACGCAGAGAAGTCGCACGGAGATGCCACTGGAAATAGGACAGGAGCAGGATCCACATCGTCGACCACCTTCACGCCTCACCCACAGGTTCCAGCACTACCGATACCTCTTAATCTCCCGCCTCTCCACCTTCCCGGCCGGGCAGACCCTCTGCAGATCCAAATCCAACCCGAATCAACCGCCTCGAACTCCAACTCGAACTCCAACTCTATCTCTACCCCCCGGGCATCCTCTTTATCCTCTTCATCGAAAACAACTTCAACTCGAAGAAGAAGAAGACTCCGACCGCTCTCCGACCTCAGATGGCCATCAGCACCGGATGAGAGCACGTACTTAGATCCGCTTTTGAGGGATGAACCTAAACCTTTGAGGATCGGGTGGGTTGGTGGATCTGGGGCGGGTGGGACGTCAGCTGCTGGTGCATTTGCATCAGGATCTGGATCGGCTGCTGGCAATGAAGCAACGGGAAGAGAGACGAGAGGAACGGGAGAGATGGTTGGATACGCGGCGTTGGCGACTTCGGGCGGGTTGAGGAGGTTGTTAGAGGTCGAAGATCGGGTTGAGGTCGAGGTCGAGGTCGATGATCGGGTTGAGCACATGGAGCGGGTCGAGAATGAGGATGAGGAGCGGGTTGGAGGTGGAGGTCAAGGTGATGGTGATGAAGAGGTCAGGGGAGCGGATCGGGGGTCGATCTCAACAACGCCAGCAACAACGACAACACAATCGGCCGAGGCGGAGCTGGCGGCAGACGCGGCGGTACCTCCTCCGACCATGAAACCCACTCCAGATTCTGATTATGTCTCAGCGGCGAACTCGGCAGTGTCAACAGCGACGATATCCCCAACATCTCCCGCAGCCTCAGCCGTAACAAAACCAGCACCCGCACCTCGTCCTCCGACACTCCCCTCGAACCAACCCCAACCCCAACCTCAAACCCCGAACGAAACCCTCCGACGCCTTCTCAGACTGCTCCACACTTACCCCCGGTACGCCAGGAAAGAGGTCTTGGCGAAATTGTTAGGGTTCGAAGGCGAGCTCGCCGTCGATCACGATTACGGTACGGGTGGTAGCGGGAAGCAGGAAGGCGCAAGGGGAAGTGCGAGGGGAGGTATAAGAGGGAGGAGGATCAGGGTGGACAAGGTCCCTGAGGGGGGTTGGGTGTTGAGGCCGTTTCCTGGATCAGGAGGTGGAGGTATTACAGGGAGATGGACGGAAGGTAGATCGAAGCACGGTAAATCGAAACAACACCCCGTCCCGAATCAGAGGACCGAGATGGACATCCAAGCAATGCACATTGGTGAGAAGGAGACGCTGGCTTTCAGGGCTTTTGCCGAGTGTGTACGTGGGGTTGTCGGGGATGGTGACAAGGATGCGGGTCCGGGGGTGGAGTGGGAGGTGTAAAGTCGTTTGGAGCGGAGTCGTCTTCTTGCGCGCTATCGCGTGGACTGTAGCTATAAGCCAGGGGCTAGGCTTCTAGCGCTACGAACTCGTAGCTATGTAGTACTGCGCTATCCATTACATGCTCGTACCGTTTGACGGTGTCTACATTATCATTTGAGCATGTTTCACATTTCGACTTGACTTGACGATGCGCTTTTACGTGACACATCGGTCGAGACTTTTTTTCCTTAAGCGCGTCCGAAATTTTCCAAGAGAGCCCCGAGGAATATATAAGGAGGAGAACCTCACATCGGCCTGTTGCGACCATGTCCTCATCAAAGCTGCAACACTATCATCATCGACAACATCGACCATGTAAGACCGACATTGTGAGTACCTCGTCCCATCTCCCCTTCTCCTTATCCGCCTGCCCCGGCAAACCGCCCATGATCTCGTTATGAAGATACCGATTAGAACCAGGCTAGTCCAGGAAGACCTTCACCTACCCTTCTTCTCCTCGGCTCCCTCTTCGCCCCGTCCACTATATACGTCGCCTTCTTCTCATACGTCCCGGATCTAGTTGTCTCTCTTTCCTATCCGTCCCGGCTCTTCACGGGGTCGAGGGCGGGGGTCAGGGGGATGGTATTTCTAGACGTGGTGGGAGGAGGGCGGTAGGGCGGGTGTGGGGAGGATCATATGGGTCGAGGTAGAGGGAAGGTGGGTTGGGGGTCCAGTGGAGATACAACATGAGCGTTGATTCGCATGCATCACCCTCTGAACGATCTTTTTCGGCGGTTTTTGTTTTGGGGTGTGGCGGGTTCGGGGTTCGACAGATCATGTTAAAGAGATCACGAGGCTGATTGATGTTCGTTCTCTGTTCTTGACTCGGATTAGGTATGCCGGCTATGGATATTCATGCCGCTGTTTATGATTACTCTGTCGGACTTGCACCTCACTTCGTAAGCACCTCCTTCCTCTACTCTCTTCGCTTCTTCGGTTCCCTCTCCTCGATCACCACCAAATCCAATACACACCGCGATCGCCGCCATGCCACGCAACGAATCCAAAACGTCTCTCTTCATCCTCTTTCGACTACGACTTTTGAATGATGCAAAATACTATTCAGTTCTGCTTCGGATGAGCCCGAGACGATAACAATATTTTACCAAAACACATATTCTCTGACAAAACAAAAGTCGAACGCAAGAGGAAAACAAAGAGAGAGAGAGAGGAAACGTTCTGGGGTGGCGGTGCGGCGATCGTGTTGGGTGTTTTGGTTCATGGCTTTTCCCTTTATCCCTATTCTCATCCTCGGCGATGTCTTTGTTCTCGTTCTTCGGATCGGAGCATGGATGGGTTGCTGGATGGGGATAACTCCTTTTGACGTTTGACCCGGTTCTATTGGCTCGTAGACGGGTTGCAATAATATTGAAAGGGGTACGGGTTGGCTGATCGTCGTGCTTTGTCCTTTCTCTTGTTTTTCTTTCGGCTTTCGATTTCGATCTTTTTGATTGCGAATCGGGTCAATTAGGCCGTTCATCTGGCTGTTCGGGAATGGGGTTTGAAGAGCGTTAGATGATGTGGATCGGAGATCGGATCACGATGAGTGAGTGTTGGCTCGTGTTCGATTCGTGCCTATCCTCGTGCGTCCCCCCACACTCCGATCCCCACTCTCGACCTCGACCTCGAAACCTCGCGCGCCTCATCAAGATGACACCATCAGCTCAATCCATTCTCCGAGTACCATCCTCTTTCCCGCTCCTCGCACCTTATCCCGCCCGCCCACGGTTCGGTCGTCTTAGCCTGGACGCTTTTGTCCTTTTGGGGATCTCAGCAGAAAGGCAGGGACGTCTCGTCTGTGGACCTCGGCCCTTGGTCTTCGGACCATGCCCTTGCCCGGGTTTCCTTTTCCGTCTTCGTATCACTCACCGACCTGGCGGTCTCCTGGCTTGGCGTACTGCTGAGAAGATTCGATCGTCGGGCTCAATCGAGCGGTATGAAGTACGAGGGGGAAATATGCTCGAGCGAGGGGTCTTTGGACGTGGTGGACGTCTTGTCCCTCCGATTGAAGGCGTGTCGGGGCAGGGTGGGAACGGATGGCATTCTTTTCGGGAGTGTCGTTCGTGGGAGCGTTGAGAGGGGGAGAGGGTGGGTGAGAGATAACTCGGCTTTCTGAACGTGTGGCGCGCAGCGTTCTTGTGTGGGTCTGCTCGGATCGGAATGGGGTGGTCTTCTGTTCGATGAACTACGACGGGACGATCATGGTTCTCGCAAATGGAAAATGATCGATGGGAAGCTTACCATACTTCTCGTTCTTCGTTGGCCTAACAGAGATCTATGTTATCCGTTCTCGGCACGGTGTTTAGCGATGAGTCTGCACTGGGTTAGGTGAGTCTCTTTCCCAGGCTGGGTCTCGTTAGATTGTCTGGGTTGTATCGTTGTATACGCCGTGGGGGTACATGCACCATATACAATCTGAATCTGAGTTATCGCCTCGGTCCACTCAAGGATCTTGACTATGGGCCATGTCTCGTCGCCCAGTTCGCTGTCGCCCCAGTCCCAGTCATCGTCATAAAAAATCTTGAATATTTTCATAATTTCATGCCATATTTCACCGTACGTTTCGACGTCGCACTCGTCAAGAAGAACTTTGATGTCGAACCATATCTCATGAAGACTGGATGTCGGTCAAGTCATACAGAAATTTGGTTTGGTCCATAAATTATCTGGTGGTGCATTTCGGTGTCGCCGTCAACACGAAGAACCTTGTTGCTGCCCATGCCACATTATTGCGCCGTATGTCGGCTCGTGCTCGGGATGGAGGTCTCCCTTGTAAGGTGATTGATACTCGGGAACGACTCTATACATAACGTACCCTCCGTCCGTGCTTTTTATCAACAGATGGCTGAAACCGCGGCTCAAGTAAAGGTGAATAACCCGGATGACGATGTAGCCGCATCGGTTGTGGGAGTCAGTGGATCGGTCGAGATGGACGGAAAGAAGCCAGAGGATCAATCGATCGGGATGGATGGAAGGGAGGTCAAGGACGGGTCGGTTGAGATAGTTGGAGAGGAGGTCGAGGATGAACGTTACTCGACACCATCTTTGATCCTGCCTGTCATAGAATCGAACGGCAATCACAGGAGGCACGGGACTTTATTAGTTCCAAGACAAAGTAGAGGGTTGAGTGCCTCTCCTTGAGCTGGCTGAGGAGCTGATCAAGCTCAACCTTCTGGTAGACCCCGCTAGTAACGAGCATGGAAGGTGGGCATGGGGCAAAGACATCCTCTCAGCCTCGTATTCGATGAGAAAGGATGGAGCAAATACTTCAACATTACAGTGGCATGACCACCTTCCAGCTGGGTGATCGCACCGCTCATACCGATCGCAACCCTTGTACGTCTCTTCCACTGCCAAGCAGACGGTATTGAAAATGATCTCGATATTGGCGGTATTGATCTTGCGGCCTCCAACAACGCTCCAGAAGGCAGGTTCCGCGCTGAGGGGGTTCAGACCTTGTTGTGCTAATGTTCAGTACACGGCGACGGCAGTCAAGGCAGGCCGCAATCTCAGAGCGTATACGTCGTCCTCTACAGACAGGCGCGGAGAGCGGTCATAGAGAGCCATGTTGATGGCACAGACGTCCGCGATGAACCGAAAATGCGTGGGGGGGATGCCGTGCGGGACAACAAGTACTTGCTGGGGCAGGAGCCGGTTCATGCAAAGGATATCATCGCCAATTGTCATCATGCGAGAACATCCTGGTTGTCAGCTGGATGCAAGTCCTTACCGAAAGCAAGCTCTCAGCCTCAGCATAGCCACACCAGACACTCCGCTTTGGGTTTCAAGTGGTCTTGCCAAATCACCCACTTATGATCGAGTGGCAGCTGACGAGGCGGTCGCGTCATTTGGCCCGGTTGCCTCCCCGTTTGACCAGCACCAGTTGCAGATCTTGGTTCACTCTCGCATGGTGACAAGAATTTTCACGATGTGAAGTGAAGCAACGGTCAGAAGCTGTCGGGCTGGTTCCCGCCCCATTTGCCGTCTTGCCTCGCCATTTTGGCAGGCTCGGAAGTAGAGACAAGTGAATGAGAGAATCATATCAACGCATCCGGTATTACATGACAGGCTGCGCTGTATCTCCCTCTGATCTAGCCACCAGATGGTGGAAGATCGACTTGATGACAACGGTGGAGTCTTTCGGCGTCCTCTTGCAACCGTTTTCCCTGTCAACGTGTGTGACGCCGAATCTAGGGGCATAACCCATGCTCCATTCCAAGTTGCTGCGAAAGGGGCGCCAGTTTTAGTTCGGTTCGTGATGAAAGGCGGGTTTGCGATCTCACTCTAACAGCGACCAGCCAAAGTATCCGGCTATGTCGATTCCATCCTCCTTGACCGCCTTGGCCATGGCTTCAAGATAGCCTCGGAAATATTCTTGCCTGTCCTCATCGTTGACGATCTCTTCCAGTGTGCGGTCGCCCTCGTGATCCCCAGCGAATCCGTTCTCGGTGATATAGATAGGTACGCTCCGAGGCCCCATCCAGCGCCGACGGATGTCGTTCAAGAGCTTGCGGAAACCCCAAGGAACGTCGTAGGGATGTTCGTTGTGCCCACGCCTGCCGATGGGTTTGCCTTGCTGATCCTGAGTGACGTGCTCGAAATCGCCGTGGTACCGCTCGTCCGATGTGAGACCTTGCCTGACGACTCCTGTAGCCCATTTCGTCGAGTAATGGTTCACACCGAAACTGAAGCCAAGCGGTACGACGGAAGGGCGATCAGCTATTCGGTTTCTTAGCTCTGGTCGGCTGACTTACAAATCATACGATCCCTTGATGAGTTTCCATTCTTCGGCTGTAAAATCTGGTAAATTGCCGTTTGCAAACTTCTTGATGGTCTCGTTATGTTTGCCCAAGTCTGTTCGTGAGGATTGTCAGTATCGTGCCAGAAACCGGCCTCGCAGGGTTGAACGTACAGATGGGATCGGCGAACTGTTAAACATTGTCCATCGCTACATTTAGCTTCGTCCGAACCTTCCTAGCGAGGGATGACCCCGAGCGCCTACTCACCCATCCAGCTAGTATATCAACCGACTGTTCCGCAGCTAACTTCGCTTCGGGAGTATCGAACAGTGGTTCTACCCACTCAATGTCCTAGATACGATTTGTTCGAATCAGATCGTCGATCATTCAGGACAGAGTGGTCGTACTGACTAGCGTGATGCCGATGACTCCTTTCTGTTGTTGCTGGAACTCGCGACGATAGAGCGCCACAGCTCGAGCATGAGTCAGGATCAGGTTGTTTCCCAGGCTGCGGGCGCAAAAAGCGTTAGCAATTTTTCGTGATCCTGATCGTCGACAGCGGAACTCACACCCATCGATCCACTTCGACATCGAAGTTATCCTTCTTTAATACGCGAGCATTCAAGATCGCATAGCTTTGGGGCTATCATCAATGGTCAGGATGATCGCTGAGATTTTCCTTGAAAGCGCGAAAGACTCACCTCGTTGTGCGTGATCCAATGCTTGACACGGTCTCCGAACGTATCAAAGACTAGGGCGGCATACCGCTCCCAGTCTTGCATCAATTCCTCCTTCTGATGACCTGTCGCGTTAAACCCCCCGTACCGCTCTTCTAGCGCTAGAGGAGTGTCCCAGTGAAACAGGGTGATGAAGGGGGTGATGCCTGCATCGAGAAGCGCGTCAATCTAGACAGGCTCCTCGGATTAGTTAGGCTGATCTGATCGTTTCGTTCGGATTGATCTGTGGCGACTTACCAAGTTGGAATAGTAAGCCAGTCCCTTTGGGTTGATAGGATCATTTCTTCCGCCTGTGACAGGAAACCCCTAGCCACGTAAACGTTCTGTCTGAAAACCTGGCAGAAGGATCCGATACTTACCGAGCGGAATGATTCTGGACCAGGAAATCGAGAAGCGGTATGTGTTTGCGCCATACTGTTGCAGCAGACGGACGTCGTCTTTCCATAGATTATACGAGTCGCACGCGACGTCGCCGTTTCCCAAAGGCGCATCGCGGAGAACGTCATCCCAGACCGAAAGACCTCGGCCATCCTGTTTGAAACCCCCCTCGATCTGGTAGGAGGCGGAAGAGTAGCCGTGCATGAAGTCGAAAGGAAGACAATCCTTTGTCGATGGGTCCAGATCAAGTTCAATCATCGTGCTACTATGCGGTTAGAATCTGTCGGGTAACGATCTGCCAGCGGAACGGCCTGCGTTCCGGCATACTCCTCCTCGTTCACCGGCTACCTTTATATGCCCTCGTAGACCCTGATCATCACAAACAGCTCTGTTTCTTGTCGTAGGCTTCCGATGATTGTCCGTTGATGTGACGCGGCCAGACGCATCGCATTATCCTCGGTCAACGAGGAAACGCCGCTAGGGCTATGCAGTGATTGCTACAATCCGACTGCGATCTTGATCCATGCGCCGACAACGCCTCTTGTCCTCGGGAAAGCCGGAGTAGTCGAGTTTGTATTCCACGTGATTCGATCATCGCCGGTCGGAGTATCCTCGTCGGAGGTGGCGGATGCTTCCACGCTCAGTCTGTCTTGTGCTCCCGTGGGGCCCAGTGTCTTTGGGGGTGTACTTATACCCTGGCAACAACCTCAGAAATCCTTGACGGTTTGACGATACAGCAGGGCACTCACACCGCGCACCATCTGCAAACATGTCCGCACCATTGACGCAAGACAATATCGACTCGAAGGTGGAGGTGGAAGATCACATCGAGGATCTCAAGGAGAATCCGCAAGCTCAACCGAGCGCCAATATTCTCTCGTCGGGCGTCGCAGCCTTGACGACGCGCCAAGCGATGAGGCGCTTTTGGCGATTGCTGCTTATCGGTTTCTCGGTCTCCGTGTCGGGAATGTAAGCTGTCGAGCCTACTTGACTCGCTCAAGAGTCTGCTGGTTGTTGACTGCTTGATGAGCGATCTATAGGTACCTAGGTTTTACGTTGACCATCCCGGGTTCAATCATCGTCAACCAAGGTAAGATTGCATGAAATTGCGCGGTCCCGAACGTAAAGATCTGCATAATGACGTACAGCGGAGACAGGTTTCATCGATCAATTCGGCACCGTGCGCAATGCCGAGACCGGAAAACTCGAGCTTAATGCTGTGCACGTGTCCATCTGGGGCGGTACCAACTTTGCCGTACAAGTCTTGCTTCAGATGCTATCCCCGATAACAGCGGACCGGTTCGGTCTCCGCCCCAACATGTACATCTTCACGTTCTTTATGCTCCTGGTAAGCTAATCGGGAAGTCGCCGTATCAGGATCAGATACTGATCTAGCGGATTATACAGGCTATCATCGTTGAAATAGTTGCCAAAGATTGGAAGGCCTTTCTTGCCGCCAAGATTCTGGCCGGAATGTCGGCTGGCTTCATCGGCACGACCATCATGTCGTACATTTCTGAGATTACGATCTCGCAACTTCGAGGACCCCATCTCTCAGCGTTCTCCTTTTTCTTCGCTTTCGGACAATTGATGGCTGCAGTCGGATTGCAAGTACTCGAGACGGTAGGTCGTCGCGATCCATTTCGGCGGACAGAGGGAACTCTCCAGACTCAACCGCCATCATCCTGTTCTAGACAACTCCGGACAAGTATCTCAACGCTTTTTATTCCGAATTCGCTATCTTTGGCATCTGGCTGGCAATCCTTGTTTGCCTTCCGGAGTCTCCAGGTGAGAACCGAATTATCCGAAGTCGGCAAGAACCTTCTGCTGATCTAATAAACGCAGTCTGGCTTTGCAAGATGGGCCGCGAGGAAAAGTCCAAGAAAGCCATGCGCAGGCTAGTCGGTAACGTGCGCGATTACGATATCGATCACGAATATCTCGTCATGAAACACCATCTCGCCGAATCGCAAGCCTTGATGGAGAAATCGTCGAAATTGGGATGGATCGCATGTTTCAAAGGAACCAACTTGAGGAGGACCTTGATCTCCACCATTCCCTTCTCAATGCAGGTAGGTCGTGACCGTGAATTTTCAGCACGAAATTGCAGAGCTGACTGGCATGATCGATGTTCCGGACACAGAACTTTGTCGGTGGACCGCTTGTTCTGGGCTACACCGGTAAGCGCTTGCAGGGTTCGTTGTGGTGTAAATCCCTTGCTGACGATCGGTTCGACCGCCCGTTGTAGTCTACTTCTTCAGTCTCGCTGGAGTCGAAGACGCGTTCCAGGCCAATCTTATTATCTTCTGTATCCTCGTCTCAGCGATTCTCGCGAGTTTCTATTTCGTGGAAAAGGTTGGACGAAGACCCCTTTTGATTTACGGTGGAGCCATCATGGCGATCTGCGACATCGTAATCGGAGTGATCGGTACGGTGGAGTTGTCATCCAAGACCGGAACCGGCCTGATCGTCGTCAGCGTGGTGTGGGTAATTGCCTATGCCATGTCTGTCGCACCCATCGGTGAGTTGTTACGCTGCTGATTCAGCTCCGACCCTCGCACGGAATCTACTGACGCGTTAATCTACATGGCGACCTAGGCTACGTTGCTATCGTCGAGAACTCGACGCCCATGCTGCGAGCCAAGACCGCAGGTATCGCTGCGGTTCTCCAGTCCCTCAGCGGCGTAATCTTTGTGAGTATCTTGACGCGATTATTGCCGATGTCTAATCAGATGAATTCAGCTGAACTTGTGGTTTCGATGTCGTATAGAACTATACTGTCCCAATCATGCTTTCGGAGCAACAGGCGAATTGGGGCGCCAAAACAGGTGAGTAGCGTCACTCTGGTGAGGATGTGCAAAGCTGAAGATGGTCGATGTCGGCCGTCCTTGTTGCTTTGGGTTACAGGATATTTCTTTGGTAAGTTTGGCTGTCAGCCGACCGTCTAGATCTCGACTGATGTCTTCGAGAATCGCAGGTGGATTGGCAGTGCTGTTCACGATCTTGGTATGGTTCACGGTTCCTGAAGTGAGTCGTGCTCGCGAAAGTCCGTTCTTCCAAACAACGCTCAGTTTGGCCTACCCTGATATCAGACTCAAGGCCGAACCTACGAGGAGTTGGACGAGCTCTACGAGCGTCGGCTCCCCGCCTGGCGCTTCAAGGGCGCCAGAACGCTCAAGGACGACCAGATGGTGGACCAAGAATAGACAGGCGGAGTTGCCATCGAGCCGATGGAGGCTAGTTGAACGATCGCGTCGCGTTCGCGTATGTAGGGTTCCGTGTTCCGTTTGGTATTGGGATTTAGCGTGTCTTTTTGTGAATCCGTCGAAGTCGTGTATGTGCTCTTGCCAATCGTTTTAATAGGATTTATGACCGATGCTTTCCGATGTCACGAAGAGTAAACGAAGATGCTGCAATTGTTCTGCTCCAAAAAGCCGATTCTATCCTTCTTGCGATACACGTGATTTCTTCGGAGCGATAGGCCGAAAGTTGAATGACTGATCTTCTTGTCTCGAAGATCGCTCGATCGCCATGACGATCGCCATGCCACCCAGTTTCGGTCCAATCGATGGATCACGCTAGTGATGACATGCCAGATCAAGGTTTCTCACGCTGATCAGGCGCAAGACATCCCGCTCAAGTCGTTTGCATTCGTGCGTCTCTTCTCGAGCCCGGTGTTGCACATCATAGTAGATGGACCAACTGTCAAGTAGCTCGAACTGGAGTAACCAGTGACCGAGCCTCGATATTGCCGAATACGGTGAGCATGTCCAGTAGGACTTGTTGACTGGGTCGGCACGATTGATGAGTGACAGATTTAGCACCGGCAACATGTACAAACGTGACTCACTCGTGCTCGTCCAGATCCTCGAGATTCTGTTCCAACCTATGACTCGCGATCCACCGGACTGACAAGTACACGTAGAATCGATGAATAGGTAATCAACGTCGCGAACATAGCTTTGTGTGAGCTCACCCTTGCCTAAAACCGTTCTTCCGTTGACAGCCACCGCCTGTGGCGGCCAACAGCGCAAGATGAAGAGCAATTCTTCGCACAAGCTCCTTGTGAGGCGAGCATGATCGTGCTCCGGCGCGAAAGGATAACCTGATCGATCAATGACGATCTGTTTGGCCTTCGATATGTAACACCTATTTGGTAAAGGGTCAGTCGATATCAACGTCCATGGTCAGCGATTACGAACTTGGTGATGAGTTGGGTCATGTATATGTTCGCTTTGGCGACCACGTAAGGGTCTGGCCTGTCCCAGCGGTTTTGCGAGGACGAATCCGCCTCTGCCGAAGTCCAGCTATTTGCGTTAGCCTCGAGATCTCTGGAACGACATGTGCCAAGGTTAGTACTGAAATTCTTCACTTCGTCAGCAAGCCTGTTTTCAACGTACGATGCTAGCAGATCACCTGAATCGAGGCGAAAAGGTCGCTCACAGCCCACTAAGGCCTTTTCGTTCTCGAAATTGATCTCGTCAAAGCGGTTCAATGTCGCTCTGACTTCGTCCCAAGCCAGTCGAAATCGCCCCGCATGGTACAGGATCTCTGCCTTTTCGAGGATCCTGAAGAACGGTAGATCCAGTTCAGCACGAACCATCCCCAGTGTATGAAATCGAGAAACTCACTCGAACAGCCTAGAGACGTAACGAAATCCGAGAATTGCCTCAGATCTCGGTACTTTGCTCAATGAACCTTCCGCCGACATGTATTCGTCCGGCAAAGGCTGTACGTGGGTGACGGGCTGTCGGAGACAATAGTAACAGAGAGATCGTTAGGCTGACTGACTGGACTCATTGATCTCGAAGTCTCTGCTCACGCCAAAGTCGACTGATCTGAGTGCAGGCGGGTGGGTGAACTGTTCGTCATTCAGCCCCAACAATTTCAGCTTTCCAGCCAATCGATCTAATTGCAGCATGATCTTATAGCTCACGCTGCATGAATGTGACTTGTCGCCACCGAACACGAGCTATCATATATTATCGAATTCGGTGATCAAGCATTAGCATGCCAGCCCGTGACGGGGCGGTCGATCGTGCTCACCCAGTACATGCGAAGATGCGTTTCTCGTTCCAGTAGATCTGGTTGAACGATAGACATCTCATCATTCATCTGAACCTGGTCGATGTTGCCAGTAGCACATACCAAGTCCGATATAATGCTAACTCAAGACGAGATGGCAGTCAGCGTCCATGCAATCCGCTCAGCCAGCTACTCAATAGTCTCTGTACTTACATCCTCCTCGAACAGTCTCAACATGGTGGTCATCTGTACCACTTGCGCCCAGGCCAACATCGACTGGTCATGCAAGTCCAGGCTATCCAGAGCGGCCACCAGACTAGAACTTTGAGGTAAGCGCAAGGTCGGAAAGCGGACCGGATGAAATAGGGCCTTACAGGTATTGTGAAACGACTGCATGAAATTCATCGAAAGTCAGCGTGGCATTTCTTTGAATACCGTTCGGTGCACTCACGGCACGAAAAAGTAAGGCCTTGCTGTAGATATCTCAAGAATCAGCAGCCCATGCAGATCATTTCACCGCTACCGCATCTGCTCACCGCGACCATAACCTTAATCCGACCCTCTAACGTCTCGATTAACCCGACCAAGAACCCATAAAGCTCGGCGGGAGGTACATCGATCCAAGCGTTTGGTGCCAAGGCGGTGGTATACGTAGCGATCGCCAGGACGACCGTCAGGAATTCCGGCGATTCTTTGTCAAAGCCGGCGTCGAGAGCGTGCAGATGGCTCGGAGGGTGTAGGAGCGGTACGAGCTGCCAGAGCTGTAATAAATGTTGGTCAAGTTGTTCGATCAGTCAATTCTGGGACAAAAGGTAGGTTAAGAGGTACTTACGTAGTCGATGTAGATATGTTGGAGGTCCAGAGCTAGCTCTCGAGGCATGTATCGATCGATCCCGTCGAGATCGGTCGGTTCCGCCTGTTCATTCGCTATACCTCCCATGTCGGTACCAGTGGGACTTGTGGGTGAATCTTGACGATGTCGACCGACACGGGTACGATTCCTGTGTAATCAAAATTGTGAATGCCAGGAAGGGCGCCATTAGATATCACCTTCATTGAGCTGAGAGAAGGCATGGTAGATCAGGACTCACACTTGTCGAGGTAGCCTGCCTTGATAGCTATATCCCTTTCTATATAACGAGAACCTTGAGTACGCAACAATCCCATCATGCGTAGTTCTGAAAGAGGAGACCTAGACTCACTCGGGACCTCGCTTCTTAACAACTCGTAATGAAGTGCACTCGAATCCCTTCTCGACGCATCTTGAGCATGAACCAGAAGGACTTGAAGCCGCAGGGCACTTCTTTCTGGTAGGATCAAACAACTGTCAGTATCTATATTGAATATAAAAGTAGGATGGACATACTTGTCACGACGACATTGATCTACACAGAGGAACCAGGGGTAAGCCTCGCTGAACTCTGGATCGACAACGGAAGCATGGCGAGATCGAAAAGGTACTTGCCGCATGCTTTGACTGGAGGATCCATCGTATAAACAGAATCTGGACTATTGCTACCAGGTTCAAGCAGCTATCCTAGCTGTACAGGAGAGTAGCTAGAGTAGATCTGGTTGCCAAGCGTGCTCTCGTTACCGTCGATGCCCCATATTCATGCTGTTGCCGACTCGTCATATTTGCTCCCGGCCACAGATGAATATGCTTCCGGCTCCTAGCTCTAGCGCTTCAGGCGATCAGCAAGCAATTTAGCAACGGTCAATAGAAGGATCATGAAGGACAATGCAAATCGCAGGAGCCTCTTCCTTGATTTCTAAATCTTGACTTCTCATCGGATACGGAGATGGTTCAAAGAGGCGAAGCCGATATACTCATATGCAAGGATAGAGTGGAGGAGATGGAAGATGACGTCAACGATGATGCCAAGGTTGACGCCAACACAAACCTGGACGTCAAGTCCAGATGGATGCCATTTGCCCAGTTCAAACATGTCAAGCCTGGCTCCGGAGAGGATCACCTGCAGGCGCTTTGAGACGATATTGAGCTGATACAGGAACGGGATCATCTCCGTTTGACATGGCTGCTACAAACGCAGCTGTGACTGTTGTCATCCTTGGCGCTGGCTTGAACGAGACGAGCAGTTTCACCTTGACCCGTGCTTGTAGCACCTTGTAAGCCTTGGGCAAGATCTTTGATGCTAGCAATGGCGCGACATGCGGGTCGATCTAGACCACTATCATGATCGACGCCTACCGGCTTGGAGCACCTTACGCTGGAACACCTCGCGCTGGAACACCTCACGCTCGGGCACCTCGCCCAGCAACTCCTTTATTTACGCTAGCTCCGACCCAACTTCATGTACCTCTCAACCTCGACCGATCTACTGACCAAGCTCAGCCACACGTACCTTGCAACTTCCATCGATCTGCCGCTCTGCAGAGAGATCGAGCTGGGGCTCCTCTCGACCTCTGAGCAATCATCATGGCCTCTACTCTCTGGTCTTCCTCCACATGATCGAGAACGCTTCAATCAGATACTATTGGGGAGTGACCTTCTGTCTCATGCTTCTCGTACGTCAGCTCGAACAGTCGAACGTCAAGCCAGAGACTCTAAGGTCACGCGCAGCAGGAGCGCTTGGAGACGTGTAAGTTGATGTCGTTCCGCCTGTCGATATACCGTGTTTATCATTCATCCGTGTCCATTTAGTATAGGTGGCTCGCTTCGCTTCTGTTTGGTTCGTCGTGCACACTTTGTAGGGAACGTCCTGTGCAGACAGAGAAGTTTAGTTTTCCGTTTCGTCGCTCGGCACGGGATTCATAACGCATTTTTGATCGAACAGAACCATAAGCCTGCAGCGCAAGCAGCTCATCTGCACCGCGTGTATCCAGGGCGATCTCGTATCCAGATGGACGTCGCGGATTCTGTTCTACCCCGGTAGCTTTGGTTATAGTACTTGGCCGAATTCGGATCTGGGTCGATCATGGTCTATGCTCGATCGTCTACGTCTCACGCTGAAAGTAGCGGGAATTCGACTCCCTTATAGGAGGCGGAAAACCCTCTTTGAGTTCCTCTCCGATAATACCTATCCGCTCCTTACGGATTGATACGTCAAGGTCAGCCTGGTTCATACTTAGGAACCCGCAAGCCAGGTCGAGCCAGAAGTGCGAGTCCCATGAGGGGACCAGGAAATCCTCTTAACACGTTACTCCTGTACCGTAATCTGGATATGTGTAGAGCACGGTGCTCGATATCGTATCAAGCGTACGACCTGTCCTTATCCAGCTATCCTAGCCGTTCGACATCAAGAGCTCAGCCCCGCTTCCGTCCCGTTTTTGCTCTCCTTGTCCGTACCCGCGAACATCGGATCCTCGACAAGCTCCCCGCAGACGATATACTTGTTGACAAAGTGTCCGTGCCAGGATTGCATGTTGTCACTATAATACACCACATGAGCACCATACGTAAGCGAGAGTCAGCTTACCATATCTCTTCATACTGATCGCACATCATCACACCGCACTCGAAGATGCGTTATCTTGGCGAGTCGACGGGTCGGGACTCACATCTCGTCCATAGTAAACCCGTCTAGCGTATCCAGCGGCTGGTCCAGCGGCGTGAGCATGTCCTCGTCGAAAGATTGTTTGGCCATCCCTCGGGAGGCGTCTCGTCCTGCGAAATTGCCGTATGGGCCGTCTGTATGATATATAAGTGGATGACGACGTAGCAATACGATGCATGCAAGTAATGGTTTCGGAGTTTAGCAACTGGTGTGATTTCGTCAGATCGCAAGCGAGAACGGCGACGACTTACCTGGGCCGTAAAACCCAGCTCCGGATGTAACATCGAATACAGTCCTCTCCAATCTGACCTCCCTCCACCCCCTCTCCTCCTTTTCGTCCTTGGCTTTCATCCTCCTCTGGATCGCTAGCAGCAGTCTTCCTTCCCCATCCTTTCGCTTCCCATCATACTTCGCCAGCTCTCTCGGGGTAAACTTCTTGTAGACAAGGCATTGAGGGTGTTTCTTCGGAATAGCTTGATAATCCGTTGATGGACGTTGTGCTGGTGTTGAGGTACGTGGTCGTAATGCAGGTCGGATGAGGGCGATGAGGAGGTAGATGAGGATCGAGACGAGCCCGATGTCGACGAGGTTAAGCTCGCGAACGGGGGACATTCTAGCTGACAAAGCCTTGACGGAGGATAGGGTAGAGTGTGAGGTCCCTCCGGAGGAAGATATCTAGCTCGTCAGAGCGGTGATGACGTCTGTAGGAGGTAACATTAGTCTTTGTCGAGTTGGTCGACACAGGTTCCACCTTTGGGCGACTTTGGGTCCGCGTTGATGAGTAAGGTAAGGTCAGGCTGGGCTCCTGTACGCCAGACGAACAACTTCTTCCAACTTCACTCAACCTTCCATCCTCGAAACGATGCCACCCAGCCACTTAAACATTCGTGGACCCTCATCTACAGCTTTACAGGCAAATCAGTAAAACTTGACTTCCAAACTACCGGATCCGTGGAGAACGAAACAGCGACGGAATAATGGCAGGCGCAGCTATGGAGCATCAGATTGGGGAGATCCTTCGATCGAACCTCGACATCCAGGATCTAGTACATCCACATATCATTGCTGCCCAAGCAGGAAACCTTGCTGATATCCCCTGATACTGTTTACTGGCTGGGCGTGGTAGGAAATCGTCGACATCTCGGCAAATTGCGGGACGTCGTTCTCGATCGTCGTGGTATCACCAGCCTTCCAAGGCAAGGGCAAGCTGGCAAGACATAAGCTCGGTGAGTGCAGCCATTCTAGGGTTTTCTTCTTCCGTTAGCATGCGACATAGACTGACACTCAATTCCTTGGCTCTTGTGCGCTCTTGTGCACTCGCAGTAAACTCAATACTAGCGGATCAGATTGCTACATTACACGCATTCTCACAAGTTAGTTGCAGGCATACCTCTTACCTCCCCGTTCCCTTACGTCGCCCCGCCGAATTGTTTCTCAATGATATGCTGACCCACGCTTCGCCTCACCTCACCTCGCTCAATGTAATATCGTAGAAACCGTTGACACCGGCCGAATGGGAAAAAGAAAAAGAAAAGCGGGCGGCCGCTACGAAAGTGTAGGATCAAAACCTACCTACGTTGTCCGACGGAATGACCATAGAATTAGCATTTTTATCGTGAGTGGCCGTATGTCCTATCGATCTCGGTCTGTACCACGCAAGCGATCGAGGATAATTCTCTTGATCAACCGTTCGATGGCTGATCAATCGTCACTCTGCGCATTGATCATATGTATCTTACCCTTACTTCTTATCGCGCCTATCGAAACTCCCTTCTTATTCGACCAAACCTGATCCCTTAGACTATTATACCGGATCCGGTTCCCATGCATATACATGCTTCAATGTCCCGTACTCTGCGAAAGACGAATAAGAGCGACAAGCCACAAGATTTGGACCATGACTCGATGAGATGGAGCTTGGACCCGACATGGGACACCTTGAGCCGAATTAGATCGTGTTCCAACTTGCGTCGAGGCGACGGGATGAGTGAAGGATCAGAGTACCGTCTGAACAGGTCCGAGTGACGCGATGATGGTTTCAAGGACAATGGAGGATCAAATCGGTACTCGTGTGACACTTCAAGCGAATATCGCGGAGCTATAATGGATTCAAGCCATAGGACATCCGCTTCAAGACTTGTTGCCCGAGGTACACCTCGGAGCTGTATCTACTGTTCTCGTTGCGTATATTGAGACCGACGTGGCCAACGTGGCCAAGCAGCACGAGACTGCCAAGGAAGATCGGGTCCGAGCGATTCAGCCGGCGAGTCTTGGTCGGTCGAGCAGCGCTGACGATCTCTGTATGTAAACAAGCTTCCGGCCTGCTTGGTTATAGTTGCGCATCGCAGGCGAGAGGTGGCAAGGTGTACAATGAATAGGGTGACCTGGTTGACCTGGATTCAGTCGTTTTGGAGTTCTTGTCAAAAATGTGATTTGAGAAGAGTTGTTGATTTTCGAGAACGCAATTTCCAAGGTGCGCGATGTATCGGCCTGATATACAACCCTTAGCTCGACCCGATCGACAGTTCGGGATTGACCTGCACTTCTGGCAGCGTTCTACCAGAGCCGGTATGAAGGTGGAGAGATCTGAAAGTGGGCAATCAAAATCTCCTATAGAGAAATGTATCATCACCCCTGCCATTGAGGGCACTGGACTGACATATCATGTGTTAGCGGACTTTGCCATATACATATCCCGGTGATTACAACAGACGTTCATATGCAGTTGTACAAACATGCTTGTTTATTGAAAACTTTACGTTGATCATGTGACCAAATGCTCATAGCTATCGAGAAGCTTGTGGAAACGGCAGGGACAGGATTACTCCTTTGTCCTTCATTGATTTCCTCCTATGGTTCAGCAGGAGCCTTATATATAGCACACAAACCACCTAATCATTGTTGTTGCGGACAGAGGACACTGCTTGTGGCAACAATACGCACAAAATTTCAAACATGTCATACAATGAGCAACAAGCAGAGATAGATTGGTGCACACAGATGGATTTTGAAGGGTCTTGGATGACCAACTGCTCAGGGGTTCTGGAAACACATCTTCCATCTGATTACAGCAACTGTCTAATGGGAATAGACCAGCAAGAGATTTTGACGCAGTTACCTCAGGAAATCTATCCTCAGTATGCACAATTAGTCTGTGAGAGTTTCTCAGGACTGCAATATCCACTGCATCCTTATGAGGCACAATCATATCAACAATGCATACCAGGGACCATATACAGTGGTACCTGTGCCAGTAGCAGTGCTGCAAGTCAATATGGCCATTGTATTAGGCTTAATCCGTTGCTTGCTGGTTGCCACACTTCCAAGCCGGTGATTGTTGGGCATCAGTTGGCCAGCCCTTGTGAGGTGGGCTCAGGGCTTCCCAACTCATTGTCTGCCTCAAAACTAGTCAACAGTACTGTGCTAGGGCGGAGCTTTGAACCATCATCAGATCTGTCAGATGCATATAGCAATAATACAGCAGCTGTACCTCAGCCACTGGAGGATAGCATACATCCTTGTGGGAACGGTCCTGATGTGATATCGGCTGCACCTCCATTGGAAAATACCAAAGGCTTTGGTACTCAGGTCAAGCCGCCAGGTAAAGTGTCAGGTGGAAGTCTTTGGCTCAAGGACAAGAGGAAGAACCCAAATAGCAATCGCTTTGTCGAACACTACCTTGTCAAGCGAATAGATGAAGAGGCGTTCGATCTTGAAGGAGAGCTAGTGTCTTTTGCTGTGATAAGCACCAACAGAGATGTTACTGCTCTCACTGGACTTGGTAGCATTGCTCTACAGAAAGCCAAGCTGTACTTGGGTATCGACTGGGGTGACTGGAGGGTTACATATCTAGGCAGAGCACATTTGAATGATGAAGCAAAGCAGAGCCTGCTTGAAGGATTAGATATTGAGCAAGCCAGATCAAGTTGGTTTTGTTCAGATCCTGGTCAAGCACAACAGGAAAACAATCAGGAGACCACATATGCACCAGTAACAGATGAACAGAGCTTTGGTAACATCAATCAGGATGAGGTATGGGAAGCCTCATATGCACATGTGTCAACAGATTCATCAATATGGATGCCCAGGCTTGGATCAAGTCATCCCTATCATCATGAGACTGGCCCTCGGATGTCACATGTTGACGAGGCTGGCAACCAGCAGTCAGTCACGATCCCAGGCAAAAGGTGCTATTCAATAGCTTCTAGGATGAACATACAGAAGGGTGCACTCAATCGTTCAACAGTAACAGATACAACCCGTGCAAAGATGTCACTCAGCGCCGCACATGCAAAATCGTTCCATGTTGAGCGAAAAAGTGGGATCAGGTTCATATATGGAGGGCAGTCAGTAGATGTTGCCATCATACGGACTGTATATGCTACAGCCAAGTTCCTCAATTGTTCTATCCCCACACTTCACAGGGCTTTGCGTAGGAGAGATATTAAGAAGGGTATTGTAAAGCAGATATGGAGAGTGTGGGAAGTCGACATGTGAAGAAAGCTGCTACAGTACAACATCAGCAGGAACTGACAACCGCTGGCACGGTCATATTTATTCAGTTACTTTTGCATGTTGTATTATTACTGTTATAGCCATCCATGGTACGACTAGAATGCAAATCCAAACGGGTTTTCCGCCAGCAGCTCCGACGGAGTAGGTACTTATATGATACAAAAGGCAATGTGTAACTACTACGATCACTATTGTAATATGTAGTTCATCTGCTATCACACTCATTTATCTATCTACTACCCTACACAAGTCCCGGAGAACACAAAGGTTGCTGGCAACCTAACAAAATCCTTGTCTGGCAAGTCAGACCAGCCTGGTGGGGTCATTGGCCTAACAGAGAGGTATGTATTGTTGAAGAATATCAGGGGGAATAATCAACAGTATACATAGGGCTAGGTCTATGATCAAGGGTGTAATAACGGATAAAATATTTACATATCAGGGGGCTTCATACAAGTACCTGTAGGAGAGGCGAAAGAGACCTCAGAGGCGAAAGAGACCTCAGGGCTGACGCCAAGAAGAATTACCAAGTAGACCTCCAAGGGGGTTTTGTGCAGAAGTAGTGATGTGTCATAAGACAATGATAACAGATGTCGAGAACTGTCAAGGCAAGATTGGCCTGATGAAGGCCTGGAAGAACATTATTAGGCTTGTCTGCAAGCCTGGAATAGTATCACACGGGACTAGAAGGTAGGGCAAGGTAATGAATGTAATAACGGATGTAGTACAACTGGTACTACATTACAGCAAACACTTAGGGGTCGTTCTAGATATACTCCGTACGGAACTCCCATCGGAGGTCCCTGTAAAACTACCCGACGTTACGCGCGCAGCGCGGGACTTAGATAGATGACTGAGAGTCATCATCACCACACTTGTACCTCCTACCTAGCCTCATCATCATCATCTCATCTGTGCTGCTGTTCTCTTCGTGGCGACGCAAGCTGGATCTGGATCACTCGAACATACCCCTTTTGGTGTACGTACGAAACCCCGAGTCGTTTAAGTCAAGTTTCGCCCAAGTCACGTCAAGTCTCACCCACGTCAACGTCGATCGCAGTCAACCGATACCAATACTATACACCATCGACATCGTGAATGCCAACTGAGACGAGGGAACAAGCCAGAGTAGCTGCAGAGAATAGACACCACTTCTCCGTTCTCCCTTTGTCGAGACCCACACCGCTCGACGAGTTCTTCCGACGAATCGGACACGAGATCGAACCTCGCCACCAAAAATTTTCACGAGCGACGTCATCGATCATGAAGGACATCCCGACCTTTGGGGGAGAACACTTCCGTACATGGCTCAAGGACTTCCAGAACGCTATGCTCGTCTACGATTGGGACGAGAACGACAAGAAGCAAGCAAAGGCTTTTCGCCTCAACCTAGTCGAAGGATCGATGGCACAGCAATGGTACGAGCAGGAAGTCGATGAGCCCTCGAGAGCCAGTTGGTCCCTACTCCTTCCTCTCTTGAAAACCAAGTTCGATAATGCGGTAGAGGACAGACGATCAGCCTTCCAAGTGATGTCGACTACGTCCTTGAGGGATGACGATATCGGGGCGCCGAATGGAAAGGGAGGGATGCGACATGTCGATTGGGCGAGGTCTCTCTCCGTCGCCAGCCAAAGGGCCGGAGAAGACAGGGACGGTAACTACGCTTTCCTCGTCATGAACAACATCGGACCGAACGTCAGGAGCCTCCTTACAGCGAGAGCGGCGACCAACTCGGTCGGAAGGATCTGTAACGCCGTCGAAACCCTTACCCCTACCGACATCGAGACCGTCAAGGCCGCAGTGAAAGCTGAACAAGACAACAGGGACATGCGATCCAAGCTGGCCTTGCTGGAGAGGTCCATGCAGCCTGGTAGGCCCGCTCCTCAACCGACGCAGAGGGAGACTTCGGACTCTTACAGCTCGTCGTGGATCAACAACCAGAACGTCGCGCCAACGGAGGACGTGATCTTCCAAAACAACACCGAAGGAGTCGAGGCATACAAGCGAGCCGTGAGGGCGTACCACGAAAGGTACGGGGATTCGACCTACCCCAACCCTTCGAGGCCGTACCCCCTTACCCCAGGTTCCGACCCAGCTGGAACCAACGAATGCTACAAGTGCGGAAAAGCAGACCACCTCCGCTCGCAGTGCCAAGCCCCTTACACGATTCCCGAGAACGAGCAGCGATACCGAGGCAGCGTCAACAAGGCCAAGAGATCGATCCAACAAAGACCGGACCAAAGGAACTCGAACACGACTCCGATGGCCAAACCGATTCGCTGGCTAGGAACGGAGGACGATCCTAGGTTTGCCCACCTCGCTAGACTCAACCACTTCCCTATCTCCCCACCCATGTCCGACTACGCCGATCTCCCGGAAAATGGCGAAGGCCCCAACTACTGAAGCCGGTAGTTGGGAGCCGTAGTCAACCAAGGCGAAAAGAAGGGATAGGGGTGAGAGGCGAGTGTCAGGGCGGATTGGGGTTAACGTTAGGAAAGGAAGAGGAGCCGCCGAAGAAAGAAGCATATACAAAAACCACAGAGGCAAGTACGCAAGAGAAGGGTAAGCGGTCCTTTGAAGGGGCATACATCCACCCCGACCGGAGGAAAATCATCGAAAGCGGCGGGAACAAGAGCGGGGGAACGATGGCAGCCATCCCCGAGTACTTGGACGGAAAGCCGTGCTACCAGGTGCGAGGAGACGAGCCGGAGAGGGCGTTTGGCATAGAGGTGAAGTTCAACGACGTTGGTCCAATCGCGACAGCCACCGTGGACTGTGGCGCCTTTATGAACGCCATGAACCACGCCTGGTACAGGATGCATGAAGCAACGTTGGGACCGTTAGAAGAGCCAGATTTCCACTTCAGGATGGCGAACGGCGCTCTCTCCAGGAATATCGGCTCGATCAATGCGACGATAAACCTCCTACACGACAACGGTCCGGTCGAATTGACGACAAGGTTTCAGATCATGGACACCAGCGACGACTGGACGATCCTGGTAGGGAAGCCGTGGCTGAGAGACATGCGAGTCACGATGGACTTTTGGGAGGACACGTTGCAAATCAAGGTCGGGGACGAAAACAGAACATGGCCAAACGTTGCAGAAAATGTAACACGAGTAGTTGGAGACGGCATGGACGCCAGGGCGGTCAGACGACTAGGAGAAAACAGTTGGGCGCCTTCACCACTGTCGCCCCAACCGAGCGCACTGGAAGGGAACGAAGTCGAGGACACCCATGCGAGAGCCGCAGCGATCTTAGCGAAGGTAAAATTCGGTAAGAACCTCACGCCGGAGCAGGCAGCAAGAGCGGAACAACTCGTCAGAGACCACCACAGGGCCTTTGCACTAGATCTCGCCGAGGTGAAGGCCTGCCCGCACACCGTACATACGCTGAAGGTCCTGCCGGATATGCCCTTGACGAAGAAACCGTTTGGTCGGCCCCTCTCAATGCCCGAACTGGTAGCGGCGAAGAAACAGGTCGAAAAGTTGCTGGCGGCTGGAGTGATCGAAAGGTGCCGTCCGGAGGAGGTCAAGTGCGTAGCCCCGATAGTGATGGCGGCGAAGCGGAAAGACTCAGTAGCCTCGATGGATGACCTGGCGGAGATGGCGGAGGAAGCGGTGAGAGAGTGGGAGAAATGGAGGGAGAGTCGAGGAGAGGAGACGATGGAGACAGCGAAATCCTTGCAGGGCACTCAGAAAGGGAGTAGCGCCGATAGGTGCTCTGGGCCATCTTCCCAGGGGTCGCTAGGGATGGGGGGTGACGCCCCCTCCCGCTCGAACGTACGTCCTCACGAACACCCCGAGAATACCCACCGAGAGCTAGACACTGCTAATCCTAGTGCGGGGAAGGGAGATACGGCAGATTACAGGATGTGCCACAACTTCCAACAAATAAACCGCGCCACCGACGTCATCGCGTTTCCACCAGGCGATTTGGCCTCGAAGATACTGAATCACTCCGGTAAACGCTTCGTCTCGAAAGTCGACGCCTTAGGCGCGTTTTACTGGATCGAGCTATCCGAAGAGTCGAAGGGATTCCTGTGTTTTTACCTGCAGGGATACGGATACCTGAGATATAACAGGTTGCCCATGGGTCCAGTCGGGTCTCCCGGCACTTACCAGGTAGCGATGGAGAGAACGCTGGGCGATTTGCTAGAGCCTGGTCCCGTTTCCGCGTGGATGGACGACATCTTTACAAGTGCCGACGAATTCGAGGAGATGCATACGGTATTGACGGTTTGCTTCAGGCGCGCAATCGAAGCGAACCTTATGTTCTCGCCGAGCAAGACATACCTGTTCATGGACGAGTGCATCATCGGAGGCAGAAAGGTCGGGAAAGCAGGGGTCTCCCCAGATCCGGAGAAGGTCGCCGCGCTTTTGAGGTGGCCACGGCCGCAAAACGCCCGAGAAGTACTGTCGTTCGTCAACACAGCGAGGGTATTCGAGATGCACATCCCGAAATTTGCGGTGCTAGCCAGCCCGTTGTACGAGTTGACGAGGGACATCAGGCCCGCGTCAAAGAAGCGCGGATCTTTCAAAGATGCGTTGAGTTCGAGCGACGTCAGGGAGATTTGGTCGGAACGTCACGAGAAGGCGTTCTACTTACTGAAAACGCTCATGACCACGGATCCAGTAGCGGTCTTTCCCACGTACGATGGGAGGGCGTTCCACATAGCGACAGACGCATGCGACATAGGCTTCTCGGGGCACCTCTACCAAATGGACGACGAGCAAAGGATCAGGACGATAGCGTATGCGTCGAGAGCGACCTCAATCAGCGAGTCAAAGATGCATTCGTCAGAGCAGGAACTCATCGCGGTCAAGTGGGCCCTCGAATATTTCCACAAGTTCACTTACGGCCAGAAAATAGTTCTCCACACGGATTGCCAGTCGGTAAGAGACCTCTTGAGAGGAGAAAACGGTACTGGAAGACGAGCGGGCTGGAAAGAGTCCATCATCAGCGGCAGGGTGATAGAATTCGTCCATCGCCCAGGGAAAGACAACCACGTCGCAGACGGCTTATCACGAAACCCCGGGTTGGAGGCGAGAACGGCCGAAGGGGACGCGACCGAGATGGGATGGGAGGCAGCAAAAGGCCTCACGAACAGCTACATGGGCATATGCAGGGTAGCAATCGACGAGGACATCGCGCTCGTAGATCGCTTCGCGGACGATGATCTCGAAGACGTCGTGAGGTGGATTACACAGACTGACCACGACCTCATCGAGGAGGACGACATCGAAGACGTCAAACAACGCGCAGTGAATTACTGGATAGAGGATGGCGAACTCAGGAAAAGAGTGGAAGGCTATGGTCGGGTCACGGTCATACCATGCAAGGAGGGTCCGAAGCAAGCGAAAAACACACACGAGAGTAACGGGCATCTGGGCCGCGACCTCATGATCTCATCCCTGGTCAAATCGTTCTCATGGAAAACAATGAGGAAGGATGTGGACGTCAGCCTATCCTCGTGCCAAAGGTGCAGTCAATTCGGTAACCGCTTGGCGAAACTCTTGATGCGTCGCGCGCGCCCTCGGCGGCGACCTAGAGAGAGAGATATAGATGATGGACCACACCACTAGCACCTTGTATGCAGAGTAGTCCAGCCAGCATATCATCATCCCTCTCAGACCGCCTGCCTGCCTCCTTGTGGCGACGCTGCAGGATCTAGACCGGTGAGAAGAGAGGCTCGGCTTCCACGAAAAAATTTTCCACGTCCACGTCAGCCAACGCATCGACTTCATCCACGTCCACGTCTTCCCTTCCTTTTTCGTACGACATACGTAGCTTTCACTCCGACATATAGCGAATGGACCAGATCGAGTCTAGAGCGAGGACAAGCACAGACGAAATCGAAAAGATTACACACACACGATCGGGCGGAGAAGAGAGGATCCGACAGATCCTCCTCTACAGACTCCCTGGTTGGGGATTGACGGTTCTCAGCGATCTTTACAAACCCATCGGTTACGACGAATCGACACCGAACCCAGATTCACCACCCTATCGAGCTTCGCAACAATCCCCAGTATATCCCCCGTCCTACCAAACAGACGCCGAAAGTTCGATCGATACAGACGAGCTCATCAGAAGGCTCCAAGTGGTGGCGAACGCATCAAACTCTTCTCTTACAATGATCTCCCCCTTACCGAAATGCACGGGGACGGAGCCAGCGGCGGATTGGCTGAACGCTTTCGAGGCTGGCATGCTCGACCGCAATGTCGAGAATGACGATACGAAGATGGCCAAATACTGGAAGACGTGTATCGTGGCGGACAGCGCGGCGGCTGCGTGGTACGATACGTTGACACCGGGGCAGAAGGGAAGTTTCGAGCAGATGGAAGCGTCTTATAGGGGTATCTTCGAGGTCGTGAGGGCGAAGTCCGATTCTGAATATTTGCAGGAGTTGAGGAGATTGCGGCTGGAGGATGAGGACCTTGGGGGCAAAGACTCGTCGGGAGCGTACAAGCACGAGGTCTTTGCGAGGGAAGTCGTGACCTTAGCGTCAAGGATCCCAACGGCAGCGATGTCCGATGCGTTGAAAGCGAGTACCATTCTAGACGGGGTCGGGCCGGAGTTGAAGAAGTTCATCAGGATGACAGTCGGTAAAGCCGGTAGCGTGAGGGAGGTGGTGGAGTGCGTGAGGAACTTAGGAGACACAGACATCGAGTTGATTAAGGAACCTTACCGATGGAGGAAAGCTTTAGACGAGCTGAGGAGAGCCGACCAACAGAGAGCCAGGGCCTTCGGTACGAACATCAATCCGGGGCAGGAAAACCGACAGCCCACCTTCGGACAAGTCCAAGATCAGAGGTTGCAGGATGGAGGGAGTCAGATCGCGATTGGACCCTTCGCATCCACGCAAGACGGCAATCGAGCTTATCAAGAGGCTATCAGGGCGTGGTACAACCGACATGGGCAGGACGCTACCGCTTCGTTATCTCGCCCGTTCCCCCTTTCGCCGGGAACCGTTCGGCCCGGTTCGGGTGAGTGCTTCCGTTGTGGCATGACAGGCCATGTCAGGCCTCAATGCAGCAGCTCGAGGGAGTTACCCGAGAACGAACAGAGATACCGGGGTCAAGTTATGAGCGAAGCGAGAAGGAGGAACGGAGCCGGCGGACCGAGGCCCAGCTATGGGTCTGGGGCTAACGCAGTAGCCCCTATCAGGGGGTTGATGATGGAACGTGATTACGGACAAAGGATCTCGCAGAACCCGAGCGGGTTGGACGGACCGGCCTGGGACGCCCCGTTCTGCGAAGAAGCGGGAAACGAGCCGGGGTTCGATCTGTAGCGGTCGAGCGAACCCCGACGAGAGAGCCGCGAGGGAGAGACGGATGGAGGAGATGGGGTCCGGAAGGGGCGAGCGGTCGGGGATCGAGCGAGGAGTTGGGGGTGAACATGATCAGAGGAGAAGTCGACGACGTACAGTACGGACGGACGGAAAGCGAAATGGAGGAAAGTCGAGCTGAAGGATTGGCGGAAGGGTTGACAGCGGAGATGCCGCTGAGGGACTTGACGATAACAGAGAAGCCGATTAGGATACCGATATCTATCGGCGGGAAGCTGGTATTGATGGGAACCGCGGACAATGGAGCAATGGTGAACGCGGTGAGCAAGAGGCTTTACGATAGCCAAAGGACCTTACTGGGCGAGAGCGAAGCGAGTGGGGTGAGGTTGAAGTCGGTCTCCGGGAAAAGAATCTCATCGGAAGGGACGATCAAGATAGCACACGAATTGGTCCATGATCAAGGGAATGTGTTCGCAGAAACGACGTTCTTCATTATCGACTCGGAGGACGATTGGGACCTGCTACTCGGAAAACCATGGCTAAAGGCTGTGGGAGCGCGGATTGACCACCGGGACGACTTGGTTGTTATCAACTTATCAGACGACACGACCAGGTGTTGGACGAACGAGGCCCAGATCGACAAAAGCGCTGACTACAACGAACAGGATATCGGAGTGGGAATGCTGGGGAGAAGTATGGGACCGAAGGAGCATGAGGAAGAGGTGCTACGAAGGGTCAAGATAGGCAACGACTTGACGGTGGCCCAACGGCTGAAGGTGGAGAGTCTTATCCGAGCGAATCACGAAGCTTTCGCCATCGATCTGTCCGAGCTGAACGCATGTACACACACGGAGCATCACCTCGACATTACACCGGGTTCGAAATTAACAAGGACGGCCTTTGGGAAACCCATGAGCGACATACAACTGAAGGCTGCGGTGAAACTCGTCGACAAGATGATCGACGCAGGTATAATCGAAGCCGTCGAACCTGAAGTTCCCCGCTGTGTCGCACCAACGGTAATGGTCGTGAAGAAGGCAAAGATCGAGGAGGAAGACGCAACAGAGCTAGCGAGGCTGGCTGACGAGGCTCTGGTTCGAGCGGGAGGTAGAGAGTTATGGGGAAGGGTGTTAGGGGAGAGAAAATCGTGTCCGATCACGTCGACTGAGCCCCCCGTTTCAGTCGGTACTAGGAAGGGAGGCCTGAAAGCCTCCCAGGGTCCCGCGGTAAGTTCCCCGAGACCTTATCGCACGAATGGGACGGATGCTGCTGAGTCGACCGATGCCTCAGCACGAAAACCGGAAAAAGCGGAAACAGCAAGCAAACCGGTCGAATTTCGGATGTGCCACAACTTCGGGCAGATCAACAGAGCGACTCCGGTTTTGAGCTTTCCCCCCGGAGACCTAGAGATCATGATCAAAAGGCATGCGGGAAAGAGGTATATTTGCCAAGCGGACGGGTTGGGGGCCTTCTTTTGGATCCCCGTGAGGAAGGAAGATCAACCCTACCTCTGTTTTTTCGTTCCCACGCGTGGATATTTGATGTACAAACGGACGCCGATGGGATTGAACGGGTCTCCAGGGACTTACTACGTAGCCGGCACCCGTACTTTTGGACATCTACTCAATCCGGGTAATTGGGACCGATGGATGGACGACTTCTTTTCCGCCCACGACGAATTCGACACCCTATACGAGGACCTGGTGCAGTTCTTAGACGCAGCCCGCAAAGATGGGTACAAGTTGTCGGCGGATAAGATGTACCTGTTCGTGTCGGAAGCCACCGTCGGAGGTCACGTTTTGTCACGCGAAGGCGTGTCCCCGGATCCTCAGAAGATAGCCGCGATAGTCCATTGGCCAGAGCTCACAACCTCGCACGAAGTACTGTCCTTCGTGAATACCGCGGCTGTTTTTCGGACGTTTATACCACGATTTGCGGACATAGCGGAACCGCTTTACGAGTTGATGCAAATACAGGGGACCATCGAGAAGGGACACAAGAAGGGAGCCTACAAGAAGGCGCTCCAAAACGAGAACATAACCTCCCGGTGGACCGAGAAGCATACGCTGGCAGTCGCACTGTTGAAGAAGGCTTTGACGAGCTGGCCGGTACTCGTCGGCCCGAATTACGACGGCTCTCCCTTTTACCTGGCTACAGATGCGTCGAGCGCGGGTATCGGCTGCCACCTGTATCAACGGGACAGTGAGGGTAAGAAGAGATCGATAGCTTACTTGTCAAGGCAAACAACGAAAACAGAGAGCAGAGCCCACTCGTCGACCTTGGAACTGGTAGCGGTGAAGTTCGGGATCGACAAGTGCAGCAAATTCACGTACGGCTATCCCCTAGTCGTTCAGACGGATTGCCAGGCGGTAAGGGATTTACTGAGGTCCGAATCGGCAGCTGGACCCAGAGCCGCTTGGAAAGAAGCGATTTGTGCTGCAGGGATAGTAGAATTCGAACACGTGCCGGGCGTCAACAACGAGGTCGCCGACGCACTTTCGAGGAATCCCTCGGGGCCACCCGAGGACACGACGACGGACGTGCATCCCGACAAAGGCATCGACAACTCCCTAACGATCGGCGTGAACAGGATCAGCGTCGACGACGAAATCGCGATACTCGATCGATTCGCGGACGACGACATCGAAGACGTGCTGAGGTGGATATTGCAGAGGGACGTAGAAATGATCGAAGACGAATTGCGAGAGGATGTGAGGAGACGGTCGATGCGCTACTGGATTGACGAGAGAAACCAGGTAAAGTATAGAGTTCCGGGTAGAGGAGCGGTGACAGTGCTCCCGCGTAAAGAAGGCCCAGAGTTCGCAGCGAGGACGCATGAGGAATGCGGGCATCTAGGACGAGATTTACTGGTCAACAAGATACTTTCGACGCATATCTGGCCCGGGGCGAGAAAAGACGCGGATCAGAGCATTTTCGACTGTGCGCGATGCGTGCAATTCGGCTCTACGCTGCAGAAACTCCTCTTGAAGCCGGTATTCGAGTACTCTCCTTTCGCCCGAGTAGCTATGGACTACCTGGCCATGCCCGTTGGCCGGGGCGGGTACGACAACATACTCATCGCCATAGACGTCTTCTCCCGTTTCATGATGGGATGGATCTTCAAAGGGAACGGTACAGCCGAAAAAACGATCAAAGCGCTGACCGAGATGTCTCAGAAATACCTGAAACCGCGGGCGTTACTACTAGACAATGACAAGGCTTTCGACAACGAGGCTGTACGAGCGTGGTGTGAAGGGAGCGCCAGCCTGTGCGGGAGGACAGCTATGGAGTTCGCATCCCCGTACGAACACGTAGGCCTAGCGGAGAACTCGAACCACTTGGTGCTAGAACGACTACGGAGAATCGCAAACCTCGACATCGACCACGTACCGATAGTGACAAAGGCCCCGTATCCCAAGAATTGGCCGGATTTGTTACAAACATCGATAGACGCGCTGAACAACCGAAAGTTGAAATACTTAGGGGGACTGTCACCGAGAGAGGTCCTGCTAGGAGTCCAGGCAGACGAGACCGACGAATCGGGAGAAGCCCCTACCGTGGGTGAGAGACTTGGGCTGCTCGCAGCTGCGAGGCTGGACGCGACAGCGGCGTTTCAGGAAGAACAAGAGAGGAGACGAAAGTGCTCCAAAAGCTGGAACGAATACATACCGAAAGAGGGAGATTTGGTACTGCTCTTCGACACCTCCGACGACAGGACTTACTCAACCCAAGCGAAGCTGCGACCGAAGTGGCAAGGGCCTTGGAGGGTGAGAGCGGTAGTCGGGCGGAGATCGGTAGCGTTGGAGACGATCGAAGGCATTCCAAGGAAGGGACACGTAGGATTTCGGCGCCTCAAGAAATGGATCAGAAGGAAGGACGAGATGACGGACGAGGACGGGCACGAGGGCGAGGGATCAGAAGGGAGTGGTGACGAGGAAGGGTCAGGGGAGAGGAGCGAAGATTGAAGATGGAAGGGACAGGAAATCGGACTACAACAACGGATCAAAAAGAAGAAAGAACGATAAAAACAGACAAAGAATCGAAAAATAAAAAGAACATACGACAACACGAGAAAAACAACATCGAGAAAAATCATTCATACGGAAACGACGAACAATCACACCTCATACATCACAATTCTATAACATACGGAAACATCACGACACATCATCACAACACATCGACATCACACGGATACATCATACCACTCATCACACATCATCACGACACGCAAACATCATACCACTCATCACACATCATCACGACTCGGAAGCATCATCACTTCACACTGTATCAATCGCGGGAAAGAAAAGAAACGAAGAAGGGGGCGAGGACGGCGGTGCCGATGGCGAGGACGGCGGTGCCGATGGACGACAGGGCAGGAAGCCCAAGGAGACCCGACACTCGAACACATCAGCCGCGCGGACAGATCCCCACCACTCATCGACCGACATAGATCGCCATTCGTCACGATCGTACCTCACAATCACGACTCACACCCACGACCGACGACGAACCCCCCCGCTCACACACGACACGATTCACGTATCAGTTTTTTTTTCGGAGCAGAGTCAGCCAGCTTGGGGAGGGGGGAGCGCGCGCGCCCTCGGCGGCGACCTAGAGAGAGAGATATAGATGATGGACCACACCACTAGCACCTTGTATGCAGAGTAGTCCAGCCAGCATATCATCATCCCTCTCAGACCGCCTGCCTGCCTCCTTGGCGTCCAGTGCTGCGCTACAGCCCGTTCGATCTAGTAGCGATGGACTTCCTGCATATGCCGAAGGGGACGGGAGGTATGACCTTGGTACTAGTAGCCATCGATTGCTTCTCCAGATACATCCTAGCCTGGCCATTCCGAGGGGCGCCCTCATCGTCGATGGTGCTTAAAGGGATGGCAGAGCTGTCGCAGAAGTTCGTCACCCCGAAACGGTTCTACTTGGATAATGCATCGGCGTTCAAATCGCGAGAAGTAGAGGGATGGGTGGAAGAGAAAGGATCGTCAATCGAATGGAGCACCCCTTACGCACACGTAGGCGTAGTCGAGAACGCGAACCATCAGGTCTTGGAACGACTGAGACGCATAGCCAACCTCGACGTCGGCCACATACCTCAACTCACCGACCCCGAATATCCGAAGAGGTGGCCGAGCCAACTTCAAGAAGCAGTAGCCCGCTGCAACGAGAGGTGCTTGACGTACTTAGCGGGACACTCACCGAAGACACTACTATTCGGGGCGATTCCGTCGGCGGAGAGGTACCCAGAGGTCGACGCAGAAAGGCGAATCTTATTCCTAGATCTCGTGCGTACGGAGGCGACAGCGGCCTTCCTGGGAGAACAAGCGAAAAGGCGAGCGCGGATAGGCTCGTGGAACAGCTACGCACCGAAGAAGGGAGACCTCGTTCTCGCGTACGATGCGACATCGTTGCGCACATTCGACACGAGATACAAACTCAAGACGCGCTGGACAGGCCCGTTCAAGGTGACGTCGGTCGAGAGGCGAAGCGTTTGGCTAGAGTCGGTGGAAGGGAGACCGAGGGGGAAGGTCCCATGGAACATGGTCAAGAGATGGAGTGATGGAAGGACGACGGTAGAGCAGGGCGAAGGGGCACAAGGAGACGGAAGGACGGCAGAAGGACGAGACGACGGAGAGACGGATCAACAGAACGACACAAGCGGCATCGATACGGACGACGACTCCGACACAGACGAAGAACAATAAAGCATCGGCATATCGAAAAAATAAAAAAGCACATAATGCGGATACGAAGATCGAAAAAGATGGAATCGGGTTTCGGGTTGGACAGCGGGTGAGAGTCGAGTTGGGGTTTCAGTCGGTAGGCGGGTGTTTCAGACAAGAGGGGGAGGGGAGTACGCGCGCAGCGCGGGACTTAGATAGATGACTGAGAGTCATCATCACCACACTTGTACCTCCTACCTAGCCTCATCATCATCATCTCATCTGTGCTGCTGTTCTCTTCGACGTGGTCATTCGGTACGCATACCGCGGATACTCTAACAGAGTGTGTCTCTGAGGGGACCTACAATGGGGTCTATTGCGATGCGTCACGTGATGATCTCGACAGGAAGACCGGCTGTACGTATATCTCTGAGAACATATGTTAGGCATTGAGAAGGCTCCAGGGAAGACTGACTCGATGTATACCTGGAGGACATCCCAGGATCAATGTAGAACATAGGGCTAGGCTATATAAATGTAGCAACAGATGGGAGATTATATACTACAAGCAGGCCAAAAAGTAGCACAATATGATACGCTCTTTGAAAAACTCCGCCAGAGTTGGTAAAACTCGAGTCCGGCGCATGTGCGCGTCGCTACAACAAGAGCATCAGCTATAAGCAAATCGATTCCGGATGATGTGAGCGGGAGCATTTCATATCCAACTTGCACCTTTCGCTATCCGTCATCCGTTACCTCACTAGATGTATACGCATCATGCACCTGCTCTCTGCTCTCTGATCCTCCCTCATCGTCTCTTGATCTCTTGCAGCAGTAGATAGGAGACCACGAGTTACGATAGCATGGCACCCAAATTCACACCCGAAAATATCGACTACTCGCTCTACTTGGTGACCGGTCGAGAGCTATTACCTCCCGGCAAGGTGACTATGGCATTCCCGAATATGCTATAGCGAAACGCAGGGTGGAAAGCTGATTTGGATCCATGTACGTGCACAGGACTATTATGAGAGCTTGGAAGAGGTGTGTTGGTCTTATTTGATGAGCTTCGAAGCAATCAGCGGACGTCGCTAACCACTCCGACCGATTCATGTTAACCACCTAGTCCTTAAGAGGTGGAGTGACGGTCGTACAAGTCAGGGAGAAGAACATCGATACCGGCGAAGTAGGTCCCCAGAACAAAAGCTCTTTCACTCACTTCTCTATCATTCTCCAGCTTTCCTATCATTCCCCAGCTGACACATTCGCTCTGTCCCGAACCGATCGTAGTTCTACGAGATCGCCCGTAAAACCAAACTCCTCACCGACGCCTATAACGTCCCTCTCATAATCAACGACCGCCTCGACATCTGTCTCTCCATAAAGGCCGCCGGGTTGCATATCGGACAGACCGACCTGGACCCTCGGACCGCCCGGAAACTCCTCCCCCCTGGTTCTGTTTTGGGGCTATCTATCGGGTCTCTGGAAGAAGCTTCCCGTCTCCTAGACCAGTACAAGGACGAGGAAAAGGGAGGGGCTTTGGTGGACTATGTAGGTATAGGGGCGGTCTGGCGGACGACGAGCAAGGATGTCAGTAAAAAAGTGATGTTAGGTCCCGAGGGAGTCGGGAAGATCTTGGATCTGCTTCATGATGAGTCAGGGGGTTCGATTAAGAGCGTAGCTATCGGTGAGTCTTCCTTTGATAAACCCGGATTATGTTGCAGAGGTTTTTTGCGTTGTGGTTGTGCCGTGATGTAGAAATGCTGATTCCACCTGGTTCCTCTTGTCTCGATCCATAACCGCGTCCTCCCGCCCACCCGATACCGCAGGCGGAATCCACCTCCCCAACCTCCCTCACCTCCTGCACGGCTCCCACTCTCCCACTCACCTTCGAACGCTAGACGGGATCGCCGTCATATCCGATATAGTCTCTTCCCCGCGCCCTGAAGAGGCCGCTCGACAACTCTCCGAAGCTTTCAAGCGCGGGGTCGCTGGGTTTTCATCATCAGGAGGACCTGCCGGACATGCGGTCTTGCCCACCGGAATACATATAGCTGATAGGGAGGGGGATGGGAGGAGGAGGAGGAGTAAGATAGATTGGTTGGAAGGTGTCGTTGGGCTTATGAGGGTTGTCAAGGAGAAGAAACCGTTGGCTCACCAGGTCAGTCCCACATTTTCCATACTTTGTCTCTTTGCCGCTACCATCTCGTTGCACCGCTCCGACCCCTCTGAATTCGTCTTATGAAACCCGGGTCCTGTTCGGAAAGCTGACAACGCTATCCTTTTCTCTCGCATCGCATTCGGTCGGGTGGTTGATCGGTGTAGATGACGAATACGGTCGTTGCCAACGATTCCGCCAACACTACCTTGGCTCTCGGGGGGAGTCCGATAATGGCCACCCACCCGCTGGACGTCAAGGATCTGAGCAAGATCTTGGATGCTCTGTTGATCAATTTCGGGTGAGCGATATATAAAAGGTGGCTCGACATCATGGCATACGGACTGATATGACTTGCGTTCGAATGGAGCAGGACCATCTCCGATAAACAAGGCATGATCGTCGCCGGGCAAGAGGCCAACAAGAACTTGAAACCGGTCATCTTTGACCCGGTTGCTATCGGTGCCACGTCGTATCGTCGAGAAACCGCCAAGGGTGAGCTAGGGGGATCAGAACAATGAATGGCGCGGTAACGCGCGTACTGATCGCGTTTTCCTATGGGCGACCCGCAGAGCTACTGGATGCCTGGCAGCCGACGGTGATCAAGGGCAATGCCGGGGAAATCGGAGCGCTCGCAGGTTCGCTCGAGGTATACTGCTTGTCGCTTTCCTTTAAACGTAATGAGGACTCGCTGACCGGATCCTGCGACTATCGCCATTTAGGTGGCTAGCAAGGGCGTCGATTCGGTCGGACCTGGGTTCGCTAAACCCGCCGACGTGGTCAAGACGCTCGCCCGGCAGAAGCGTGAGTAGCCCAGTGAGCTGAGTCGAAGCTTCAGATCGTCAAATGATCCGAGTCCCCGCGTCATGACTGAATAGGGGCGATTGTTGCGATGACCGGAGTCGACGACTACATCTCTGACGGAGAGACGGTCTTAAAGGTGTCGAATGGACATCACTGGGTGAGTGGACGATCGTGAACATAGAGATATTTGCGTTGAATCCCTGACGATCAATCTCTTGCGCATCAGATGGGTTGTATCACAGGTAGCGGCTGCATGACCGGTAAGCATCTGAAGCGGCCAGGTTCTCGACATCGCAAGAGATCGGCTGAGGCTCGGCTCTTGGGACAGGCACTGCCGTGACCGTCTACTGCGGCGCTGCCAGGATCGCAGGCACATCATCGACCCAGCTCGTCAAGGGGGACATGCTTCTCGGCGTGCTCGCGGGCATCTTGGTGTACACCATCGCTGGACAAAAAGCCGGCGAACGGGACGACGTACGAGGTCCCGGTACGTTCAGGGCGGCGTTCATCGACGAGATGTACCACGTTACGACGGAAGACGTCTTGCGGATGGCCAAGTTCGAGGTTGTAGAATAGAACTGAGGAAGGTTTGATCGAATTGAAGGAAGAGTCCCGTTGTCTAAACATATGCATTGTTGTTGTGAGTCAGGGGTTACATTATGTTAGAGGTTCATTCGATCACGGTCTCTCCATCCTCGGAGTATTTGACCAGTTTCTGTGATACAAATGGGACCATAACAGGGAGTCTCCTATTAGCCGAAATCTCGATAACGGCCGAGCAATCACTAGCAATCTGAATGCCAAATCGACTCACCCCTCCAGCAGCTGCCCAGGCGTCCTTGACCGCCTTGGTATGACTCCCATAAGCGAGCAACTTCCGACCGTGCGGTGATGATTCGGACGAGTAAAAGTTGATCCGGGTGGTCGCTAATTGTTTACCTATTTGAGCGCCCATAATAGAGCATCAGCATAATACACTCGCAAATGCCGATCTCGACGGATCAGCAGGTCAAGGAAAGAGGAAAGGAACGAAAGCGACTTACCGAGTTTGAGGACTTCGGACTCCAATACGAGCTCATCACCCTCGGTCCCGCCCGGTCGGAGGAATTCAGTAGAGATGTTGACGCTCACACCGGTCGGAGGAGGTAGACCGGAGGTTGTCAAAGCTAGGGAGGCCATAGAGTCCGTCAACTAAAGGTTATAAGGTAAGTAGCAACATGCGTGAGTAATACGCATAAGATTGCAAAAGGAGGAAAGGCAAAGGACTTGCCGACATGATCACTCCTCCGTGTAACGTCTACGAATGATAGCGATTAATGCATATAAGAATTGTTAGCAATCAGCTGAGTCCGAGAATAGTCGACTGAGATGAATGACGAACCTTGAACTTGTTCAAATGTTCCTTCTCGATCGTCAACTTGGCTTGTAAGAAGTTCGGTCGGGCTTGAATTAGCCTCAGCTGTGTTAGGGAGCATGAATATCAGCTTTCAACAACGGTTTGAGACTTCGAACGGATGACGAGTAGTTCGTAGACTTACATTCCGCAAGGTCCGCCAGTCATGTCCTGATCACCGTTGACGACAGCAATTTGAGGATCAGCACTTCATCTAGATGCCACGTAGACACAGAATATTCACCTTGAGCGGCCATTGAAGCGTTCCATGCCTAGGTCGAATGGCGGGAGGGCTATCAGCTTCGCCGAATTGACACGACTTTGCTGCCCGAATTGCCGTAGATCACCTCTTGTACAGCCTTCAAGCAGGCCCCTACTTTCTTTTCGACGGACATTATGATGAGAACGGATTAGACGATTCTTTTGGATTATGGATAAGCGCAGTTTGCTTTTCTGATCCAGCTTGATTGAGGTTGCGTACATGTTGGGGTTTCCCGAAGATGCTTTCGATCGGTCTCGACCGAAAGTCGGTCGACTGCCCGGCCCTAGGGTAAGTCCGGGTAAGTCAAGCTCCCTAGACGCGCTGTACAGCATATTTTTTGTTCAATATGATATTGTCCGTTTACTACACGAATCATAATTACAGCGACTACAGCACACAAGATGTTCAGATTGGCTAACAAAACAAGTACAGGAGTGATTCTGCTTGATTCAAGTAGAGGTCAGTGTCTTATCTTGATATCTAATCCCTCATGCCTTCTTCTCCATACCTTTTTCTGTCCCCTCTTCATGCAAAGCCTTCCTGAGTGTGGGGATGCAACAGTTGAGGAACTTGGCTGCAGCAGACAAAGTCCATATGATTATGAGATTTGCTTACTGCTGTTAAGGGTGAGCCCTGCTGTGCCCTTAGTCGCTCCTCTCCGTGGGACTTGTACTAGGTTCCAAGCCTACAGGTTGTATAACGGATGGAGAACTATCTATTACAGTGATATGGATAGATCTCCATCGAACCTCGCCGTTTATATACCCCGGTATGTTGTTGTCAGAGAGACGCGACCAGCCATTCCGGCGGTCAGCCCCATCGATCATGTCCTCCAATCGTGTCCATAAAATATGCCCAAACCCTTCCCCTGATGGCCTCCGTCAAAGGGGGTCGATCTCTAACAACTGTCCCTCATATTTTTAGGGTTAGGAGCCCATTCTCATGACACTGCTCTCCGTTTGTGACACAACCAAACCTACTGTACATGATAATTTGCTAGCATACAGGAGAGTGAACAATGTGTGCAGGTCAAACAAAAACAGGGCCTACACCTAGATCAGTGACTTTCCATACATTCTTGACAATACCCTTCCTTGTGCCCTTAGCCTTCAAGCTTCTCTGAACAGTGGGAACAGAACAATCAAGGAACTCAGCTGCAGCAGATCGAGTCCGTATCTTGACACTAGCTACCAAGCGATCTTTATACTTGAAGGGAGTCCCATTCTTTTGTTCTATGCGGAATACCTTTGCATTTCCTGCGTGCAGTGAATTTCTCACACGGCTCATCTCTGAGCGATGATAATGGTATCTCTGCAGTACTGTTCCAGCAACTGTTGGAATGTTATGTGTTCTGTTTTGCAGCATGGCCTCTGACCGTCCAATGATTGAGCTCTCAGCAGGCAATGACTTGGTGTCAGCCATGAAACCCATAGGATGGACCGAGTCCAGCCTGGAACGAAGATCCATTGGGTCCATCGATATAGACTCATGTGAGATCTCACATGCCTCATGCTGGTTGGTTTGGTCAAAATTGAAAATATACTCTGATGGTTCATGGCTGCTCTCCCAGTTGTAGTCCTTGTGAGCTGTACCATTTAGGCCAGATCCAGCAGGGGTGATACCAACCCTTGCAAGGATTTCCTGGTCCATATCATCCCCTGAATGCATTTTACCAAGATAAGTGATCCTCCATGCATCCCACTCAATATTGGCATGCAGCTTGGCATGAGCCAAGATTCTATAGCTAGCGCCAGTGAGAGTAGCAACACTCTTGGTTGTCATAATCACAGCAGATGACACTAGCTTCCCTTCAAGGTTGAATGTCTCCCCATGTTTTTGTGAGACATGGTATACATGGACAACAGGTCCTCTGTTTGACATCTTTTTGTTCTTCTTGCGACTGGGTGGAAGGTTCTTCCCTGTTTCTGTGGCTTGTAGTGTTGAGTGAGGGTCTTGTGTCTGCGTGCCGTGTGTTGAGTTTACACATGTCACATCAACAGGGTTGTTGTGATGATTTATGGCATTGTCTAGTGATTGCATCAGAGTTGCTTTATTGTTTCTGGCCACATCTTCCATACTTGACAAAGACTGGGTGGTCTGCCTCACTGAGACAGAGTCAGACAGGTTGGTCTGGGAAAATGCATGTGTGACTCCTGAGCTGGGCTTGTCTGAGGTTTCCCAGTGAGCCACTGACTGGCAAGAAGGGTTGTTTATGAATGACAGGAGAAGTGACACGGATTCCTTGTCGATCTCCGGTTGATATAGGGAAGATCCTTCATGTAGTGCTCCCAGAGCCTCAATCTCAGCTGGGGTGTTTTTTTCACATGCCTCAACTTTCCAGATTCCAAGCACAACACCCTTCTTGTCATCTGTTTTCCTCAAAGCTGATCTGATTGTAGTGTTGGAGCATCCAAGGAAAGCAGCTATATCCCTGGTAGCTGACATGACCAAGTGATCCACTAGGTTTCCGTCACTGTCCTGGAATTTTGCTCCCGTTTTTAATAGCTTCACAGTATATGCTTTTGCCCACTGATTTGACCTCAATGCAGAATCACTCAACTTCTGCTTGAATGCAGCTGATAATGGTTTACGCCGCTCAATCACTTTGGTAAGTAATGGTGTAGCTTGTTGCAATACCCCAACTGTTCCTTTATCGATTGACTCTTCTCTGTTTGCTGTCTGATTGCTGAGAACCTGATTATCAGGTTTGGGATATCCTGATTGATTAGGAAATGCTGCTTCCTCAAGGGTGGGGACATCAAGGGGTATTGGTCCTTGATCCATGAGTCTTGGATCCAATTTGGAGCTCTCCAATGATGCATCATGAGTCCAATCATAGTCATCTTGCTGAAACAATACTTGGCTCGATTCAGGCCAGCCCAGTTCAGCTTGGGCAGTATTGACCTCTTCAAGGAAAGGCTGATTCTGACCGTGCAGTTGATACTGGTATGCTGAAGATCCTGCATGGACTTGTTGTCCATACTGATAATCAACTGAGCCATGAGACTGAATCATGAGATCATCATAATTTGTTCCCATTAGGCAGTCATTGATGACACACGGAAAGTATGTTTCTGGAACCTCTGGATAGTATGACATCCAGGACTCTTCTTGTATGTATTGGTCTATCTCTGCTTGTGGCTGGGTATGAGACATGTTTGAGATCATTTGTATGTTTGTATCCACTAACAGTGCCCCCTTGCCCATCATGATTACAACTATGGTGATCTCTGCACTATATATGCGGGTGCTTGCTTCTTTCCTGTACCCCTACCCTTGAAGGGAGATTATTGAACAAAGGAGTGCACCCAACTTTTTGGCTTCCCAAAGCTTCTTGATTGCTTTCAGCATCAGGTCACATGATCCGTGTGATGATTCGGATATCACATAGCCTGCTGTAAGGCCCGGGAGCAACCCCCGGCGGGGGTCCCCCTGGACAGGCTGACGGGACGCAGGAATGAGGCAAGGTATGGGTAGACATCTAGATGTAATAATGGATGTAGAGCTATTACAGAGGTACTAGTTCTACATCCAAACAACAACACCGAAAAGTACCCCCGGCGGGAGCCGCATACGGGAGTCGCGTACGGCGTGTCCGACGCGTCACGTGACCGCTATAACACCTGCAACCTACATTGTGCGCTTCGTAGCATTTCCAGCCAAATTGCCGCTGACACAAGTATTGTCTCTGGGATGCTTGTCTGTAAATCTATCTGCCTATGTGCTGTACAAGAAGTTGTCAAGATCTCATAAAGTAGCAATATCGCTATAAATTCCGTCGGAAGCAAAAAAAGACTCGACCTGGTCGTTCCAAGAATCTGGTCGTTGCAAAGCTTTCAAGCAAATCGACCTACACTCGACTACCAGCTTATCGGCGGATCTTCTGACTTCACCATCGTAACGCAACTATGAACGGTCAGATCCACGACGTCCGTAACGTCCTGATCCCTCTGATCTCTGCCAGTGCGGGTTTCCTCGCCGCCTACCTCTGGCTCGCGAACCGACCAAACTCGCTCGAGGCCACTCCCACTTCCGCCTCTACTGCTACTGCCAAATCCTCTCAGCCCGCATCCGGTACCAAGACGGAAGTCCTACCAGAGCAAGATGACTCCGAGGACTATTCTACCGACTCGGACGAAGAGATTACCCCGGAATACGCTCAACGGCTCAAGAACGCCAAGCCGCGGAGTTTCAGGGAAGAATGCAAGCTGGTGTTGGTCGTCAATCAGGAGTTGTCGATGACAAAGGGGAAGATCGCTGCTCAGTGCGGGTGAGTACAAGCGGAGACCTCTACGTGTGGGCGTGTAGTGAAAATGACAACGGCTGTAAGCTGACGTACTAATGAGATGCTGGGCCGTTTTTGCTGCGTAGACACGCTACGTTGGCTTGTTACAAGACGTTGCAGAAGACCAACCCTAAAGTGAGTAACCTTCGATACATAACATTACTATCTCACTCACTCACAAGAATACTGATCATGCCGGGGTTTCGCTTCTTCCCCTTTCGCAGCTCTTGCAACACTGGGAAAGAATCGGGTGAATAAGCCCTGCCTCAGCGCACTCACATTCCCCTGGCCGAATCCCTGCTAACCTAACCCAACCCAACCCAACCCAACTCTGCGATCGACAGCCAAGCCAAAATCGCAGTAAAAGCCCAGTCGACAGCCGAACTCCTCGAACTACAACGTACTGCCCGGTCGTTAGGGGTGTGTGCGCAGGTTATTAGTGATGCGGGGAGGACGCAGATTGCGGCGGGGAGCAAGACTGTTTTGGGGATCGGACCGTGAGTAGGCTTTTTCGGGGTTTTATCGGCTGGTCTAGGCTTCTTCTTCGTCAGATGGAAAGTGATGGATGATGAGGGAGAGCGAGAAGGTCCTGCAATACCCAAGCTGATGCTCTCCATTGATTTTCTCGTCTTGCGTTCCTCCTCTGTCCGCATGCCGTCCTACCTATTAGAGGCCCGGTCAAGCTGATCAACCAGGTGACGGGGCACCTCAAGCTGTTATAACATGTTTGACGACAGCCATGCTTCAACTATACATGCGATCGATACCAATGAAATCGACCTTGTCCCCGCTGGATCCGCTTGGGTATGATAGCGAGATGCGGTCGAGCCGGATGAGTTACAATAGACCTTGTCGAGATGAGGGTACAACTGGGGTACAGGGGGGATCGGAAGCGGGCTACATGTTACGATTGAGTTCATGTTCGAGATCAAGACTCCTCCGGCCTCCTGCATCGAGTCTCGATTTCCATCCGGCCATCAGTCTCATTCCCGCCATCGCTCGACCACACCTCGTCCCCATTCCGCAAATCTCCCTGTGGCCTTTCATCCGCTCTAGCGTTGAACCCCCCACCCAAGCCTATGACGGTCATCAACATGGCCAACACCCCGAAGAACCTCAGGACGCCGCTATCTTTCCTGATCTCTTCCCCTCCATCGTCGCCCAGCCCACCACCCCCGCCTCCACCTCCACCCTGCGTAGATCCAGATCCAGACCCGGGTGAACGACCTCCTCCGAATGGATATCGATGCAAGTTGGGATGATGACTCCCAGACCCGAACTGCGGTGGAGGAGCCGAATGGCGTCTCCCTGCCGCTCCGCCGGTGCGTTCGGCGAACCCGTAGTCCGTCCACGAACCGGCGTTTTGGGGGCGAGAGTAGGTAGATCCTTGGCCTGTTGCTGATTTGGCCGTTCCTGCCCAGGCTCGATGTGGGCCCGTTTGATTCCCCGGTCGTTGGGAACGGAGGTATGGAGAGTGAGGGGAGTAGTAGGGTGTTGAATGGGTTACGCCGGAGGATGAACGTGGTTGGAGGGAGATGTCGTATTGCCGCCTATATGGTGGGGGTGATACAGTATGTCGTTTTGTCGGGTGATATGTCGGAGAGGAGTTCGAGGGAAGTCGGATTTCCCAGATCGATCGCGATCATCGTTAGACGTCAAATGGTATATTGAGGTGAGAATAAGAAGAAGTAGAATGTCAGCATCCACAAAGACCATTTCAGGATCCACATCGTGGAGAAAAGGGGTGCTAATGCACAGAATCCGGGAAAGAAAGAAAAAAGAAAAAAGATGGAGAAAGAAGAGATTATGATGGGAGGAAAACTTGACTTGCCGTTTAGAATCGTCCCCGAGCACGCTGTATGCCTCGGACAGTTTCTCGAATGTCGCCCTGTTTCCGCCTGGGACGTCTGGGTGGGCTTTTTTCGACAACTATCAGATGCATTTGGTTGGAGTGATTGGAGGTTGGAGTGGATGGTGGTTTGAGTGGATGGTGGTTCGATGATGATGATATAATGGTAGGAGGGAGATGGGAGATGGGCGATGGGCGATGGGGATGTTGATAGGACATAGGAGATACGATGATACGACGATACGCCGATACGCGATAGAGAGATAAAACCAGGTATAAGGTAACAGGTAATCCATCAGCGAAACGAACACTACACATGCTTTCTTGTCGATCTACAGTCCACAAAACAGCTGTGGATCTTCAAGGAGCTGGGAGAGAGAAGAGACCTTCGACTGACCTCGTAAAACCGATTCTTGATGTCCCTCTTCGAACTCCCCCGCCCGACCTGGAGGACATCGTAATGGTTCTGTTTATCCTGTAGCCTCGCCCGGGCCGGTCGGGTGGTATGGAGGCATCTTGTCGTTATTCTGCTGTACGTTGACATGGTGCTGTTACCCTTGCGTAGGGGTGTGGGTCGGCAGGAGGTATGAGATGGGTGTTGTGATCGGAGCTCGATCGGGTTAAGAGGTTTGGTAAGGTTTTGGGAGGTGAGGTAGGACGATGATGCGATGCGCCGATCTGTAGATTTCGCCTGCGTTTGTCGATGTTCAAACCTTTGGAGCAGAAGATCAATCGGCTTGAAGTTCGTGTGACTATTATTCTCTGGATGTTGCCGTTACCATCACCGAGCTACTCGTAGCTGGCAGCATGAACGATGTCGCTTGAGTTGTCCTTCGATCTTTCGTTCGAGATCGAGAGCTCGTGATGACGACACAACGTAAGGTAATGTGCGCGTCGCCCGAGATTTGGGGCACAAGAACCCGCTAGATTCGTTTGCTGAACCTAGCGTTCTTGGGGCATCTTCTGATGATCCGATGGGATCATGATCAAAGAGCCTCAAGTGCTTGCTTGACCCAATCGTCCAGGTCGGGAAAACTGTAGGGGCAAAGACCGAGGTGCACCGGACAATACTTCTCGATGCAGGAGTTGTATTCAGGACTGAGCCAACAACTCGGTTGACAGATGAAGAATGTAACCTTTGCATGAGGAGAATGCCTTCACTATGCGTCTGTTTGTCACAGGATCATGTATGCCTATGACATGTCAAAATGTTCATCATGTGATCAGATGCTTGCAGCTATTGAGAAGCTCCCAGAATCCACAGAGACACAAGCACTCCTTTGTCCATCACTACTTTGCTGCAGAGGTTCAGGAAGCAAGAAACTGCATATATGCTGCAGAAATCACCTTGTTTGATCACGTTGAAGACAAGGAGCTCTTCTTACAATAATCTACACGCACAGAATCTTAAACATGTCGTACACTCAGCACCAACAAGCAGAGATTGACCCATACATACAGATGGAATGCGAAGAGTCTTGGAAATTCAACTACCCAGAGCTTCCAGACACATATCTCTCATCGTCTTTCGGCGGTTGTTCACTGGGAACAGATCAGATCGGAAATACAATTCAGCCGCTTCCACATTTTCAGGAGACTGACTACCAGCATGGTCGACAAGTTTCTCAAGGATTGTCTGAGTTTCAGTACCTTCTACGCAGTCAGGATCAGACTTTCTTTACGGATGACAATATTGCCCAAGCTGATTGGAGCTGGCCTGAACCCAGTCAGGTATGGCTGCGACAAGATAGCCATGAGATGGAGCAGGGTACGTTGATAGAAGATTTCAACTTGGACCCAAGACTTGTGAATTCGGAATTGTCATATGCGCCAACAGTTGGGGACACAATCTTTTTAGATGACTTGGGATACCCTAAATCTGATGACCGGGATCATGGTATTCAGACATCCAACAGGAAGGACCAAGTCCAAAAAGGAAAAGTCCATATTGTGCATGTGACTAAACCAGTGCTTACTGAATGGGTTGAGTGTCATAAGCCATGGTCTATAGGGAACAAGCGCAAATCAAAAAGATCGAGTCGCTCTGCAAAAGCTTGTACTGTCAAGCGGGTATATGGAACTGAATTTCTGGACAGCAATGGGAACACAGTGGATCACCTAGTCATGCCAAGTATCAGGGATGCAGCTGCTTTCCTTGGATGGTCCAGAAACACGGTCAAATCAGCTTTGGGGAAAACAGGTGATGAGAAAGGTGTTGTGCTTGGGGTCTGGAAAGTTGAGGAACATGACCCAAAGGCACCAGCTGAGATTGACTACTCAACAGTACCAGATGCAGAACTCTCCCTATATCAACAAGAAATTGACAAGGAGCCCATGTCGCTTCTCCTGTCATTTATCAACAGCCCTTCTCGCCAGTCATGGTCTCACCAGGAATCCTTGGATCAGGTCAGACCAGGTGATACAAGTGAACCCTCCCAGAGCAACCTACTGGGTACTGTCTCATCATGGCAGATCTCTCAGCCTTTGTCAAGTATTAGAGATGGGACTCGAGAAAATACAGCAGCTGTGACACAATCAACAGGTGATGCAGAGGATCTTCTGAAAGACCCTGCTGGTCTGACATGGCTTACTACATCACATAGTACCCCAAGAAATCACCCCTGTTGTATGCCACAATACACAGTACCTGGCAAGACATCTTCACACAGGGAAAGGGGGAAGAAGCTGTCCACCAGAGGTCACGTTGTCAATCTATACCATGTCTCACAACAATATGGGGAGGGATTTGGCCTTGAAGGGAAGCTTGTGTCCTCTGCTTTCATAACAACTGATAGGAGAGTCTCCGCTGTCACTGGTGCTAGCAGTCACTCTTTGGACAATGCCAAGCTTCACACCAATATTGAGTTGGGTGTGTGGAGAATTAGCTACCTTGGTAAAATACGCAAAGGAGAGGATGTGGACCAGGAGATTTTTGCTGGAGTGGATCCTGATTTGGCAAGGTCCAATCCGACTGGTTCGAGTGAGCACCAACCTTGCAATGACCGCAAATGGGAAAGCAGCCATGAACAGATGGGGCAGACATATAATCTTGACCAACACAATCACCATGAGGCCTGTGAGGCCAATCAACGATCTACACCTGTAACCCAAATGGTACCAGAATCTAGCCTTGCATCAGTTTATCTGTCTGATCACGTGGCTAGCACCCTGCCAGTGGGCATTGAAGGCACAATTAGCAATCAGCAGGAAGCTATGCAGCATACCACAAGGCAGCCCATCCCAGCAATTGTTAGGAAAACAGTACAAAGACAGCAATATAGACACTCCAATATGACCCGTGCAAAACAATCAATGCACTCAGCCAATGCAAAGCGATACCGTGTAGAGCAAGCTAATGGAGATCTCTTTGAGTATGACGGACAATTGGTAGCCTTTGCCATAATACGGACTGTTGCTGCTGTGACTGAGTTCCTCAATTGCCCTAGGAGGACTCTTTACAGAAACTTGAAGGCCAATGGCAGAAAGAAGGGTATCGTTAAGGAAGTATGGAGAGTCAGAGAGTACAAAGATGGCTCCACTTCTACTTGAGTGGATCTTATAGCCATCTGCAGTTTGATTAGACATATTGCCAAACGGATGTTCCGCCAGCAACTCCAGTGGAGCAGGTACTTATGTGACATGATAGGTAGCTTTTAACTACTACGATTTCCCTTGTATAATGTAGTCCATCTGCTACCACAGTCATTTATTGATCTACTACCCTAAGCGAGTCCTGGAGGAACCCCGGGTTGCTGGCAACCTAACAGTTCAACATATGGCCCAGTCTCTGCATTGCTAGCCAATCATCTTGTAAAGTAGGTATGGTTATGACATCATCTAGAGATCAGGACCACAGTGACGGGCAGGTGTTGGGTAACAAGAAGACTTCGGGTCACACTGGCTCAGCCACTGCCTGGGAGGTACTATAAGGCCTGGCAGCCGACCTGCTGTTACGGGATCATCACGTGAGTCGACTACCGGTACACGGGCTCGATCTGCGGACATCAGTATACACCTAAGTCCGGCTCGACGAGGCGAATCCGATTCTCTCGGAGCGGATTCGGTCGCCCCTACCATTCACCGAAACAACAATACGTTCCCGGTACACATCACACACAGGTACAAGGACCTCGAGGTACACGACAACTCTACTCAGGACCTCGACAACCTTACTCGACGTACCTAGGGACAAATGAGAACTCAAACTCGCCTCCTCTACCGAATCCGGTTGCTCTCGACAGGATTCGTCTGTTCGCCATCTCGTTCTTCCAGTTTCGCCATCTCCCGCCATTCTTTTCTCTTGGGTCTTTTCAGTGTTCGCCAGCCTCGTCTCCGTACTCGTCTCCGTATAAATAGCTAGAGGAACTTGACCGAATTCGATAGAGGACGCTCTGTAATAGTAATAGGTCAAGTTCCGATATCACATTCAATACACGCCTATCTGACTTGTTACAACATCTTCAAGACGTGTTGCGGAGAGGTTACAAACTCAAGGACGTCGCTAAGTATCTACGTTTCATCGTTTTACCTTAGACCGAATCCGGTACCTCACACCGAGTGATCACCTTCCTTATCCATATATCTCTGGATTCGTATCCCGCACCCGAACCCGCTTCATCTAAGCGGACTTGCGATATTCTCCCGACTACCTGCGATTCACCTATAAGCACCCTACGCCTTACGACTTAGGACCTATCTCGATTAGCGACTTCCGCCGTAACACCTGCCGGGTCTTGAGGTAATAAGGTTGCGGGACTGGGGAAAGGTAGCGGTAGGCATAGTAATGTAATAACGGATGTCTAACTACTACAAGGTATTAGTTAGACGTCTACGAGAACATCTCCTAAAAGGTCTCCGAGAGCGTCTCCGAGAGGGTCTCCAAACGAGACCCCGAGGCGACGCGCACCGTAGGTCGCGCGTCACGTGACGCCTATAATAGGTACTTGGTATAAGACCCTACAATCAGCTTGCAGGGTCTCTTTGTGATAAGGTTGCAGGACTCAGGAAAGGTAATGGTAGGCATATCATTGTAATAACATATATTGTATCATCAGCAGTAGACATCTGCTTCAATATCCCATGAACTTTTAGTATTCTAAAGATTTCTGGGATTACTAGGCTTTTTTATCTTTGCTTCCGAAAGTGAATGATGATGATGATGAGCAATGAGTTAATGAGCGATAAACTGGTGCGACCTCCTCGACGATCGACATATGCTACTCCTCTTGTCCCGTGCCATACCAACATCCCTTGTGTACTTACCTATTCGCCTGTCAGCCACATCATACCGATATACCGACTAGTATATCTAGTATCAGTATCAGATAGGACCAGCCTCCGATCGACCAAGACCATGTCCGTCGTCCAAAAGACCCCCATCAACATTCTGCAGCAAGCGTGGAAGAGGATCGCACCGCTCGAACTGGCGGACAATTCTTGGGACAATGTACGTCGAACGTCAACGCTTTCGGCTACAGTCTACGGTGGTACTGATAGGCCAATGTTGTGTGTCATCATCTGGTGACCAGGTTGGGGTGATGATCGGTAAGTCCACCATATCCATCCTCCTCGACATACCAGGAGAAGCTTGTTCCTTCCTCTCGGTGTGATTCTTTTTGGATCGCTGATATCCTCTCTTATGATCAACAACGATCATCGCAGAGGCTCCTTTCCCGAAGAACAATGCCAAGAAGGTTCTGCTTACCATCGAGTCAGTTCTCAAGCCCCCTTCTATCAGATAACTCACGAGATCTCCTATCACGTTTTCATACTGACACCGTTCGACCTTGCTCTTCATCTCAAACCTCTACCGCCGATACTACACTATTCTACCTCACCACCACGCCGGATACTACTATACTCGATACTGCAAACGAACGCTGGTACGCGATTCAGCTTGACAACGGACGTATGCAACGAAGCACTGGACCTTGAGGGGTGTTCGGTGGTCGTCGCTTATCATCCGCCGGTGAGACCTGAATTCCGTTCTTTGTCCGATTTTTCTTCTTCTCTTCTGTTATGTCGCGGTGTGAGGTGTGGGGTGATGGATAAGGCTGATCTTCGAGTGTGTTTACTCTCGTTGTGTGACTATGTGTTCTCATGGTGACCTAGATTTTTTCCGGGCTCAAGTCAGTCCACGATCATTGTTCGAGATATCGAGAGTCGGCGCTGACCCTCTCCTCTCTCGCCTTGATTCATGATCCTATATGCATATTCGAACGACCTATCCACACCGAAACTTCGCCGTCAACGCCGACCCTCCCCTCCGACCGTTACGCACGTTCTCTGACCGACTCTCCGCTCCCAACGACATCCCGGGTCGGTAACAACATTGCAATGACGGGCGACGTACAATCCCGAACACGATCCCCCACGTCGATCCCTATACGTAATCCACCATCGATCACCCACGACCAACCGCCCCGCCCAAATCACCACCAAACGAAAAACAGATCACTCAAACTATCCAACACCCTCCAAGCGTCCCTCTTGAAGCTCTCAGCAAAAGGAATCAGCGTGTTCAGTCCGCATACCAGTTTGGACTCGATCGAGGGGGGGATCAATAGTTGGTAAGTCTGCACTTCTACTCCTTCGATCCGTCTTTTTCCTCGGTTTGGGAGGAAAGTTGTATGCTTCGCGAGGATGGTTGGGTGGGGTGTGACGATCGGTTTAGCTGATCATGCGTTACTTTTGCTACGACGTTTAATTTGCGATACCCTATTCTCCGTTCTGGGAATACATTTACAATCACGACAACATGTTCCATCTCGGATACGGCTTCGACAAACCCTCCCTCACACGCCTCATCCACGTTCAAAATTGCGATCACAATGGCAGGCTGACAACGGCCTTCGGAACCAACCTCAAATCATCTACCCCGCTAGAACCCAAGTTCTCATCCGGTTCTTCTGTACCGGCCCATCTAGCCGGGTTTGAGGGGGCTGGGATGGGTAGGTTCGTTGAGCTGCACGAAGGGGTTGAGGCGGGTGAGGCTGTTAGGAGGATTAAGGGGTTGTTGAAGTTGGAGCGGGGTGAGTCTCGAATCCTCAGTTTTGAGTTCGATTCCGCGGGTGGACTGGCTCGGTGATGAGATGGGATGGGATGAGGGTGGTCTCTCAGCCCGGGAGTGACGGGTGACGGGGGTTCAGCGGTACTATCACGAGCGAAAGATTCGGCACTGACACTCGACCTCACATCGCCGCTCGTTTCGCTTTGATTTATGATCACGAGCTTAGTACAATACGGCGCCCCGGCTCAGGGATCGATCATCAAAACAGTGGCTATCTGCGCGGGCTCGGGAGGATCGATGTTCAAGGACGTCAAGGCGGATCTGTATTGGACGGGGGAGATGGGCCATGTGAGTCCTGACGTTCGACCTTGCCCACCAAAAGCCTAAGGGCGGATTTGTCGCCAAATTCAGAGCCGCTGTAAATACTGACGTCCGTTCTTGACTGCTGTTTCGGTCCTGTTTCCTCGCTCGCCTTTCTGGGGACCCATTGTTGATATCGCCGTTGTGACGATACCTTAGCACCAAGCTCTGGCGACGACGCAAGCCGGATCACACGTCGTCCTCTGTCATCATACCAACACGGAACGCGGTTACCTCAGCGCGGTATTGAAGGACAAGCTTCGGGAAGAGTTGAATGCGCAAGAGGGGCAGGATGGGTGGGAGGTCGTCGTCAGCGGGAAGGACAAGGATCCTTTACTGATCGTATGAGTTGGGAAGATGGGCATGAATCGCTCGAGACCATGAGAGGCTGGAGAGATTGGTGAGCTTGTATGGTTGGCGATCTTATGCAGGATGATATGCTTCATATTCTCGAGCAGACAAGGCGATCTGGCGAAGGCGATTTAAAACGGATAACGAGCCGCTGTGAACGGCGTGAGACCATAGCGCGACGACCTGCAGACGTCTCGTATGAGGCAACCTCGAGCAATGCTACCAAGCTGTCGACGAGCCTCAGGTCATAGACCACCATGCGTATCATCGGACGCTAATCAACTCGATCGAGATTCCATAGCCTCCCTTGCCGGATCGACAGCATCGCTGGTCCGGCCCGGTGCTCGATCCGGAGCACGTCTTTAGCGCGCGCTGAAAGAGGGAGGGAGATATTCCGGTCGGTGTTCGTCGCTCTTCGAGGTGATTGTCGAAGTGGTCACTTGACCAGACAATTATGAGACTAGCGTGGACTGACAGCATGGTTCTTGGCTCATTCTAAAGGCCTTCCAGATTTAGCTCGCACCCCGCGGTCCGGGGCATCGATCCGGTCGAGGCCCCGGATGGCAAGAATCTCGTTCAACCGGTCTTCGTCCGAGGGTCGCCATGATGTATAAGAAGCGATGAAGCAGAACGGACGAAGGGTACAGGGAGCACCTCTATCTGCTCGGAAAGACACAGATAGCTCTCGGCCATCCAGCAATCAACATGCAGCTGAAAACCCTTACCGCCATCCTGCCTTTGTTGGCTACAGCCTCGGCGTTCCCTTCACTCGTCTCAAGGGAGAACGACTCCACACCATCGAACAAGAGCAAGACTTGTGTCGTTCCTGCGGGAGGATCCAATGCAACCGATGATACGCCTGCTATCAACAAGGCTTTTATGGATTGCGCCAAAGATGGGACGGTCGTATTTGAAGAGGGTGTCGATTAGTAAGTCCACCCAGCCGGTGGTGTGATCGAAGTGAAGATGACTGAATTGTTTGCTTGAAAGCTTCGTCATGACTCCCTTCCGGGCGACCAACCTTTCAAACGTCGATATACACCTCAAGGGGAACATTCACCTGCCGCAAGATATCCCCACTGTACAGGCTATCGGTGAGTCCCCTTCAAGGGTGGTCAAAGGGAAAACCGCACGGCGGCTGATCTCTCGCCGAGGAAACCGCAGTCAACGCTACGGGAACAGCTTGGTTGTCCGGAGTCTGGATGTCCTTGCAGGGAGATGATGTCTCGTGGTATGGTAGCAAGAACGTCTCGTCCGGGTGGATTTACGGTAAGGTTTCCGTCCCGATAATAATGTCTTCTAGAGCAGTACAGCTGACTAGCTTGGTCGTCGGGACGGGATATTGTACAGCTTATGGACAAGCTTGGTGGGACAAAAACGCTGAGAACCCAACTGGGACTGGACTTCTGGGTCGGCCTCATCTAGCCAACTTTGAGTTGAACAATGCTTATATCGATGGATGGAAAGTTAGGAAGCCGATCGCTTGGTGAGACGATCTTTCCCGATTCCACATGCCGTCGTACTAACGTGTGGTATCTGCAGGAATATGGCCATCAGCGGGACCAATTTTACGATCAAGAAGACTATCATCGATGCGTTTACTAGCGGAGGGTTTCCCTTCAATACCGATGGGTTCGATATCATGTTAGTCAACCATACTGACAGGCTTGAGAGTGCTCGGGCTGATTGATCGGTGTGACTTCACGCTCGCAGGGCGGACGGCGTTGTGATCGACGGGTTCACCGTCTCGAACGGTGACGATGCAGTGGCCATCCAGAGCGGCGCTGCCAACGTGCTCGTACAGAACGGATACATCGGACATCACTCGCACGGGATGAGTATCGGGTCTCTGGGTCAAAATCAAGGGTTGTTCGCTAGCGTCTCGAACGTCACCATTCGGGATATTACGGTCGATGGGGCGGTCTATGCTAGTCGGATCAAGTCTTGGGTCGGAGGGCAGGGGTTGGTATCGAATGTTACCTATGAGAACTTTAGGCTCAACAATGTGACGTGAGTCTACGTGGAGCGCTGGGCGGACGTCTCGATCGATTACTGACCGTAGTTCCGCTATTGCAGATTCCCGATCTTTGTCACCCAGACATACTTCAACCAGGGATCCCAGCAGTCTCAGATCGAGAACGGAGCGGTAACAGGCAGGCCGAACAACTCGAGCGTGATCCTCAAGGACATGTGAGTCAAGTCGGCCGGCTGAAGACTTCTTGTCGCGGCACTCTACTGACCCGCTTTTCTTGGCAGCTCGTTCCGAAACTTCGCTGGTAACATCAACTATTACGATCCTGGCGACCGATCTTGCGTCTCGGACCCTTGCTGGTACGACGCCTCCATCTCCGACCGAGAGAACCCGGGAACACACTCGGTCGTGCTCGAATGCAGTAATTCGACCACCTGCAGCGGATTCACGATGGAGAACATTCAGGTGTTCCCCCAGCCGGTCCTGGAGCCGAACGTCATCTGCATCAACGTCGGCGAAGAGTCGAACCCGGACCTCGGATTCAGATGTCCCGGGGGGAATTACAACGGTACCTTTGTGGCCGTCTAGATAGCCTGGGCATGAGTCAAGCGCATCAGAGAACGGAATCATAACGAGGATGTGAGGAATTCCATGAAAGTTACAACGCATAGCTAGAACGAGAAGATGATTTTCATCGAGTCGAAACCCGGTCCGAGTGTATCAATCAGGCAGGGCGACGTGGGAGTTGTCAAAAAGGACTCCGGAAATCATAATATGAAGGAAAATTGCGACAGGCTAGTACCCCGCATGTAGGGCAGGGACACATCCAACGGAGAATTATACGTTGACAAAGCTATACGTGTACGTTCGGGAGACTACATAATTGAAGGAGCCGCATTCTACTATTCTACTAAGCGCTTCCTGGACCTGAAACGTCGGAAGTCGAGATTTCCATGTCTTGGTCGACTTGATCGATCACCATTTGCTCGCTGTCGAGCGGGGTCTCGGCGCCGGAAGACGACATCGACATCGCGTTGTCGACGAGACTTCCGTCAGAGTCATGCTCGCACGAGGAATCGCTACTCTCGGAGACTTCGCAACCAGAGTCGAGATCCATGTCATCTTCCGCCTTCTTGTCCGACGGGCCATCCAGGTTCAACCAAGGATGCTTCAAGAGCTCGCTCGCGGTAGGGCGCATCTTGGGTCTGATAGTGAGACACTTGCGCAAGAATGCATACGTCCCCTCGAGATCCCCTGCTGCCACACTTAGTTTCAGGTCCCAGATGAGGCCGGCACCAACTTCGTCACCGGGCATCGGATATCCCCTGAACTTGCCTGATGTTGAAGACAATCGTGTAGTCGCTACTGGTCAGGAAGCTGAATCGAACGATGTCGTCGTGAGGCCAGAACTCACCTTTCCGGTCGAGGATATCGCGCACTTTTGGAAAATCCTTGACAAACTTGTGCGAATAGCCACAGATCTCAGCAGCAATGTCCCGGAGGGCTTGACGTCGACCTCCTCGGCTACATAACATGTCGACACCCAACAACATGAAGGCCATCTGACATGGGGGCATTTCAATATCGTCAACGCACTAGCCGAATCACGATATTGTGATTGCGTCCACTCACGGTGGTCCCGATGGTCCAGATGTCGACAGGTCTTCCCCAGTGCATATCGAGAGGTTTACCCCTGGTCAACTCCAGCTGGACCCAATATTCAGGCGGACACATCCTACGGTTGAGCACAGGGTAGCCTTCCTTCTTGTGCTCCCATTGCGCTGCATAGCGGACGAGTCGAGTCGTTTGTGCATCAACAAATCAGCTTGACGGACAAGAGCGAGTTCAAGTATGACCCTGCTTACATCTTCCGAAATCGGTCATGACGACCGTCGCGTGCTCGAAGAATTCTCGCTGCCGGTTGGGATCATCCCATAAGCCCATACCGATCGGCTGGATTTTGATGGCCTGGTAAGGTTTGGGCGAGGGAGCAGCCTCCATCTCTTCTTGGACGTGACGCTGCATGTCGGGTACTCGAAAAAGAACGTTCGCCGGTTTGCAACCTAGGAATCGAGAGGCCTTTGTATTAGTCGAGTGTCGGTCGGCCGCACTAGTCGGAAGCTAGACCTCATCTCACCCAAGTAGATCAAGCTCATCTCTTCGTGCATGTACCGGATCCCCTCGGTTAAACCCCTCGCTGTCTTTCTAGCGAAGTCGATCGGGATCTGGGTCCCTTCCGTTTTGAATAGTTCTACAAGCCCTTCCATGCTGATGGAGAGCGGTTCCAGAACGAGTGCTTCCGCGCCCCAGCCAGGTTGAACGGGCGTGCACTCGTACAGCCGGATGAGGTTGGTCAATCCGGGTTTGACGAGTGCGGGTTGAGAGTATCGGTGAGAGAGCTTGAGGAGAACGTCCTTTTCGGTCGGAGGCTCGGTGTACCCGGCCCGGGCGGGAATCTTGAGGGCGACAACTTGTCCCGATCTATCCCAACAGTTTCGAGTTGACAAAGATGGTCAGCGCGTTCAGGTACCGTCAACCAGGACCGGACCAGATCGATCGCTCACAGGTTATCCTTCGCCAACCACGCGTTCGAGTTGTTGCCCACTCCGATCTTCCTGATGACCACCCATTTCCCAGGGATCTCGTCCTTCTCATACTCATCGTCCGACTCATCATCGTCATCGCTCCCCTCCGTCTTCTCCTTACTCTCTTTAAGCTGCCTCTTCTTCTCACGCTCTTCCTTGACTTGGCGCAAGACGGCCGGCGATCCGACCCCGATTTGCGCACCGATGCCTTTGTCCCAATAACTCTTGGCCGACCAACGTTCTATATTCTCGTTGCACGAGAGAGCTGGCCTATACATAGGACGCCGGGGGGGCGGTCGATCCGACATCGTAAAGAATAAGGTGTTTCAGGAGAGGTATCTTCGATGGTTTTTCGTGCTGGCGCAGGAGATTGTGATGACAAGACCTTTAGAACGTTGCTCGAACAATCAAGCTCGACTTGTCGTTCTGATGGAGAGGAAACACGTCTGGTGCGGTCTTGCAAACAAGAATCCCGGGAATCAGTCGATCCCTCGATGGGTACTGGACCGAACCCCTTGCGATCCGGGCTGGATTGGGATGGCGACGACCTCCATCGCGCGCCTGCATCCGCGCCTATAGAGCACTGTGAGAACCGCACCTGGACATGGTTCTTAACGCAACGTGACAACCTACCACATTCCGGGGGGGAGATATCTACCTGCTGCATCGCACTATCAGCGGAACCTAGAAGAAGAAGCCCTTCTGCTCACTTCGATCGGCTTTGCTTTCCGTCGAGCTTACCCCAGCTTCTTCCCGGAACGAGCTTAGAATATCGTGGGAAGGGTGATCTGTCTATACTACTGCATTGGCGGGTCTCTGGCACTGCACAGAGTGTGGGCCGGTCAAATCAGTCAAAAAAGAGGCGAAGAGACGACGGAAGTTTGCAAGTAGCTTGTCGGTAAAATCAGTACATCGTCCTCTATCGGTCAGAACAAGCCATTCAGAGTTCCACACACCAAACGTTTGCGCCCTCGCGCGCGCTTACTGTACACCGGGGTTTCTCGTCAAATCCAAACATCTCTCGACATTCCCGATTCGGAGCATCCGAGACAGTCGCTACCTGCTTACAACAGAAACATATGGTCGTGATCATCCAGTAGCGGATCTATAACCAGCTGTCAAGCGGCTCCTGCGACCCCCGTGCGGCTGCATCGATACCCCACGCTACTAGCACCAGGGGCAGTATGTTATTCCTACGCGTCGCCATGCTACTACGCTTCGGAGACGCCATTTCAATACGTCACGTACCGAATCAGCGCTCTATCCGAACCTAGAATAAGAAGCCGTGTTGGTAGACTCGTCGTTTTCATAGTCCGCAATCGATCAAAGCAAGTCATTCAAGGTTTGCGGTTTGACGATCGAGGTCTTCTGGGACGAATTTTGTTTGCGCGCGCGCTTACGCCACGATTCCCGCGCTGAAACCATGCATGTCCAACATTCACCTAGAAATATACTCAATGAAACGAACCACCTCATCAGCTGAACAGGGAATATCAATCCGGAATCCGCAACCATGATCCTATCCAAGGTAGGAGTAGATTGTCAAATGGCCTGGCAGTCGAACCTATATCGTCAATGACCTGCTGAAACGGAATTTCATACGCGTCGCCCCATCTACCTGAGAGTGCGCTTACGCCCCCCCACGCGCGCGAGGTTCAACATCTACTCAACACCTAGCTGCGAGGGGGCGATCTGGGCTGACGATCTGGGCTGACGATCTGGGCTGGCGATCTGGGCTGTAAGAGTTTGAGTAGCAACGTGAAGCCCGAAAGGGAAGAGAGAGAGAGAGAGAACGATGAGATTATAGCCTACGTTTCTCATGCACATCTCACGGATGCGCATCTGCGCTTAGCGTCTGAGACCCATGTTCGAGCCGCTGTTTACGATGTCGAGAGCTGCACATTGCGATATCTGTTGCAGCTACGACGTTCTCCCCCGTTCTCCCCGCATGTGCCATGACGGGAGCAGGGGTAGAGAACGATCATTAGATGGCTTGGGACTAGATGATGACCCCCTACGGGCCCCTTGTCTGTCGTACATGCGCCGCTGTGCTCATCTCATAGTGATCGTACCTGAGCGGTACGAGATTGAACATCTACCTAAAGAAACGACGACCACCGGCCGTCCTTGCCAACGGCTGAAAAGTAGGGGAAGTGAGATGGCTGGACGTTGACACATATTCCAAGCTCGATAAGCGACAGAGGTAAGCGCAGAATGGAATGCGTAGTCGGGCATGTTCAACATCTACAGTACCCAGGCTACGAGGTCCTTACGCCCGCCAACCCGGACGGCGCATCAGCACGAGAGGATCGTCCGAGAACATTCTAGCAGGGGACAAGGTAAGAGAGATGGCAGGTTGTTGAAGAACGATCTATCGCACTACCTAGTCATAAGCGTCGTCATCGTCATCATACAGTGCGCCTCCCCCACATCGTGGCAAAGATGTAGAAACTCGTTCCGTGTGGTCTTCGCGCCGCGGGGTGGAATATCGCACGAACATCTACTCGTCGACGTCCCCCCCCCGGGAATGACGGACTCCTCCGGGTACCAATGGGGTGAGAGTGTACCGGTGCTTGGCATGCTGGACGCTTGCGCAAGCGTTCGACCCTGGAAAGGTCGTGAGAACCCTCGTCGCGTCCCCCTGTAGAGCGCGTTCGAGGGACGCGACGGTCCGTCTTCGTCCGGCCATATAGTCCAGACCATCTGGACGACAAACACTTCATCCCCCCTCTTCTCTTTCTTCTTTTTCTCTTTTTCTCTTCAGCTTTAAACATACGTTAAAAGTTTTCCCTATTCCCTATCCCAATCCACTTCCACTTCCACTACCAAACGCTTCAAAAACCGAACAACAATGTCTTACGCACGAGCTACCGCTTCTTCCACTCTCCGGGTCGCCGCTATCCCCTCGTCCACCTCTTCCTCTCCCCCCCTCGTATCCTCGAAGAAGACCCTCTCCTCCTCTTCTTCCACCCCCGTCTCTATCGCCAAACCCGCTGTCCCCTCTATCGCCAGGAGGACCCCTTCGACTTCGACCACGACCACGACCTCGAGGCCCGCCCGGATCGTTTCGGACTCGAAATCGAAGACCGCTAAGTCCCAATCCTCCTCCACTTCCGTCGTCGCTAACAAAGTTTCTATTTCTTCTACGATCGAGTCCAGGCAAGCTCAGCGGGCACGGGAGGCCGCTGCGAGGGAAGAGAAGAGGGCGAAGGAGGATGCGGAGAGGAAGGAGAGGATCGCTAGTTTGGAGGCTCGGTAAGTCCAGTCTGGTCTAGTTCGGTTCGGTCTCTTCTCATCTCTTACCCGAACGCAAGCTGACTCCTCCTCATCTCTTCTCATCCTATCATCGCCTCGACACTCCACACTCGACACCCGCCATCCATACTACAGCAAGGCCGCCCTCAAACAAGCCAAAGCCAATCGAGAGGCCGCCCTGGCCGCCCGGATCAAGCGGGACCAGGACCGGAAGGACAGGGAGTTGAGGGAGATCAGGAGGGGGGTCGAGGCGATCAAGAAGGCGCTGAAGGCTTTGTCGCCGAAGGTACGTATCATCGTCGATGTCGGAGGGGGGGTTCGGTCCGGTTAGGTTCAGTTTAGGGATGGAGAGCTGACTTCGTTCGTCGTTTGCTCTGCTTTGCTTTCGTCTTCGTCCTCGACCTCTATCATCTTCGTCGTCGATCCTCCCGATCCTCGACGACCACCGCCGCCGCCGACATCGCTCGTACTGTAGATGACCATCACCACCCCAGAAGAGGTCCGAACCACCACCATCCCGGCCCACAGGACCAAGGTGCCGGTCAAGTCTGCTTTGAAGAGGAGCAAGATGGTCGTAAGTTGTCTTCTTCATTCGTTCGATCGATCGATCTCCCCCTCTCCGTCCTCGTCCCTATCTACATCGATACCGATACGTCGACATATACATACCCCTTCGCTATCGTCGTCGTCGTCGTCCCCGAAGCACGACCCACCCCGTTCCACCTCGATCCACCTCGACCCCCTCCTTTCGACCTCGATCCGATCCAGCCCGATCCTCCGTCATCGTCATCGACTGCGATTTGAAATCCCTTTTGATGATCTTCCGATCGCTGATCCTCGACAACTTGCTTCACTTTACTTTCTTTGTTCTCTCTTCGGTCTCGTCATTCGCCACTCGCAACTCGTGACCTCTTGCTTCTCGGGTCTCTCGGGATCATCGTACGACTGCGATACATCGGATCGGATTGGTTCTCGGTTCTTATATATATATAGGACGACTGCGTAAGTTCCCTCTTTCTCTTTCTCTTCTTTTCCCTCTTTCCCTTCCCTGTCCGTTCGACCTCGATTTCGTCTTCTTTACGACTTCGACCTCGACCTAGACCCTCGACGTCAACCTCGACCTAGACCGAATCAAAAGTAGACTCGTATGCTGACCCATATCATAATTTCCCGCTTTCACTTCTACCTTCTATCTCTCGCCTCATCCGACATCCTTTCCAAATCCGCTCTTCGACCTCCGGCCTTGAATTCGACTACGATCTACTATCAATTATCGACCATCATCATCGACTATCGATCATCGGCCACACTCGCCTCGTACGCTCGCACCCATATCCCTTCCCCTTCATCTACATCTACGCTCGTATACTCGTACGACCTTCTTCATCGCCATCGCCTGGTATCGGATCTTACCTCTTACCTCGGTCTACATCAATATGATCTACCCGGATTTCGGATCTTATAACGGTCTACTTCTACGGGACGTATTACGGGATTATAGCGAATGGCCGTAAGTCTTTCGAACACCTCGGTCTCTGGCCATGTTTTTCCGAGTCCGAATGCTGATCGACTTATACTTCTCTTTGCTTCTTCCTCGGTCTGCTTTTCGGCTCGTCCATCTCATCGCACTACACACTACATCGATCTCATACCATACATCGACGTCCAACTTCACCCGCCCCTTCCTCTGCGTTATCGCCCGCTCCCCACCTCGGTCCGTTTCAACATCGCCCGTTCCTACCTCGCTCGCGCTTCATCCCTCCATCCAGGCCGCCTTCGGGATCGACGACCTCCAATTCATCACCAAGATGAACAAGACCTTCCCTCTCCAAGAGACCATCAATCAGGAGAGGAAGATGATGGGTCTGCCCCCTATGGTAGTCCCTGAGTTGCCTGCCAACTGGAACTGTGAGGAGCCTAGGCAGAGGGCTTGTAGGTTTGGGAGCAGGGAGGTCAGCTGTTTCAGCTACAGGGGGGTGCCGGCTTAGTAAGTTTCGCGTGCGACTCGGGAGGGGTATTGGATCGGATGGGATCGCTGATCGTCCTTTTTTGTGTTTAATTCTCGTCTTATTCTTCGTCTTCCCTCCGCCCGGTCCCACTTTACTCTACCGCCGCCGACTTGGTCGATAACGATTCACTCCTTCGGTCTGTCATCGTCTTCGCCGCCTCGCCCACTTCGAACTCGGTCATCGCCGACCTGCAACATCAACATCGTCTCCGTCGTCGTCAACATTGATCGACTTCCATCTCTACCGTCGCCAACCCTCCATACCCTCGACATCCACACCAATCTCATTCCCACCTGCACCTCGCCGTCAACGATCACAGCCACGAGGTCGTCTACCACGAGATCACCGATGCCGACAAGACCTTCGCCCTCCGGCTCAACGAGAAGCTCGACGTCCGGGTCGCCGAGATCGCCAAGTCTGAACAGGCCCGCAAGGAATCGGAAGAACAGGCTCGAAAGGCCTACCAGACGAGGACCCTTACCGAAGAGGAGATCGCAGAGGCCCTGGTCATGCTAGGAGATATCAAGAAGCGCTGCCAGGCCGACACGGTCCCTCGGATCACCTTGTCCGTTCCCGAGTTGTATTTGACCGAACCGGAGAACCAGGACGAGGAGGATGCCAGGTTCGCCGAACAGCAGGTGAGCTCTCGCACACACTCAACTTGTCTGCGTAGTCGTATGCTTATAGCTTGACTACACGCTCTCATACTCGAACAGGCTCGACGAGTGTGGACCGACTTTTCCAGGTTGGTCATCCCTCCTTCTATGTGGACCGCCGACGAGAGGGGCCAGGAGATCGAGGATGAGGAGGAGACCTACTAGGTCGGAACTCTATCCGACGCTTCGAAGTAGTCTGGGAAACGGTGAGTTCGGGTCCGGCTTCGTCGGTCTTCGCTATTAAGTATTTCGTGTTGACCTTCGATCGATGTGGTCTGTTCCGGTTTGGTTCGTCTAGATTGTCATTCGGGCTACGCAATAAAGTAAGTCCGGTTTGGTCTCCTGGAACAGGATTCCCTGTGCTGATGGTTTCTCGATCTCGACTGCACTCGCAGACCCCCTCCGCCATTCCACGTCCTCTTTTTTTTTCTCGGAAGATCTATAACGACACTCCGACCAGATCCGCAACCAACAACCACAATCACAACCTTTATCTCTCCTCTTGGACCTGGACGATCTCTCTTTTCTTCTCCGGGAACTCTTCGCGTCTTCTCGATCAACGACCTCGCCATCGAACGCCCCGACGAGCGGCAATAGGGAGGGACTTTTTCTCAACTCGATATCGGGAACGACCTAGAACGAACGCTTGCCAGACCGGTGCATCCTCTCCGGCTCTTCGCGGGTTAGCCCGGCCGCCACCCTGAACGGTGGGGAATGAGGGCGTCACGCTTCTCAAAACCCTTCGGGGATATCAGAGCGTAAAAGTCAGGGTACAAGATCGCGATCCGGGTCCGCCACGTATCGAGGGGGGGATTAATTCTGAACTTTGCTTTTCCGAAAGGCAAAGTTGGTGGACTCCTTTTCAGGTGTTACGGGTTCGCTCTGTCGTCGGAGGCGTGAGGGGTTCCTTGGGCGGGGAGAGGGTGAGTACGGGTTCGGGACGGGGAGTCGAAGGCTGACCAACAACAGGGTCTCTCGATCTCTTTCGGTTGGTAACATATACACGGACCGGGCGGAGGATCGTACGACACCGAAACCATTACGGACGGATTTCATCTTTATCCCTATCGCCTCGTACATACACGGATCGGGCGTGGGGAACTCGGCGTCGACATCGTCATTGCGTCGCATCACAAGGAGGAGGAAGAACGCTCACGGATCGGTTCGAGGACTTTTACCGGACAAGGACCTTTATCGTTTTGGATTTCTCATAGTTTCGTGTTCCGTCGTAGTTAGGGGTACCGGTTTTTCCCACTGGGTTTTTTCCACCGGTACCAACTTGTATAATTTTCGGGCTGTGGACTTTTGTGCTTTGCTTATAATTCTCGGGACGTGGACTCTTATGTTATAATTTTCGGGTTTTCCTTTTTACGACTTCTTGTGATGCCGCTCTCCGACCCGAAGCAAAAGCTTTCGCTATAAAACCTTTGTGGGGTAACGGGAAAATCGACAGCCTACTCGGTCAGAAATAAAGTTGACGAGATCATGAAGTAGTCTAGCTATTGCAGAAGTACAAGAACACGGCTGAGACTGGTCTACTGACCCTTCCTAAGCGCGTCCATACTCTCCATCGTAAAGTCGCTGGCCACGGGTCCATCCAAGATCTCGAGCTCCTCATCCGTAAACCATCCGAGTCGAGGAACGACCAATATGCGGAACGGGATCAACAAGGCGATTACGATGGGGAAGCCTGTACGGCGAAATCGACAGTGAACATGACAAATAAGCGAGGCAGGATCGAGCAAGGTGGGAACCGGCTAAGCTCACCTATGGAAGCGATCGTGTTCGTTATGGCAAACGTCGCCGCAAAACCGATGAGTTCGAACCATAGCCAGATGAGCAGGCGGCTCTTCCTGACTCCGTGCAAAGGGTGCGCAGGGGATGTGAGGTGTCCGTCCCGGATGAGGTAGAGAAAGTGTTCCGTCACACCGCTAGAGAACAGGGCCGAGGTCCCCATGTACCTGTTATACGTTTGGTCGATGATTGAGCGTATAGTCAAGCGGCGACGGTATGGCCGATACTGAACCTACCAAAAAAGCCCTGCGATGACTCCCTTGGGAATGAATCCGATCAACGTCTCGAAGGGACCCGTCATCATGACAATGCCTGCGATCAGATACCAAGTCAGCACAGCTCCCTCACGAAAGCGCGAGCTCGAGATTGAAACTGACAAAACAGCCCTTGTACCAGTACCGATACCCTTTGCTCGACTACGGCCACCCGCTTTTCCAAATTCAACTGTTCTTGGAGCGCTTCGATATCCCGCTTGATATCGGTCGGACCGCGTTTCTCGTTGCTTGAGGGAAGGACCGGGGCTTTACCGCCATGCGCCACCATGGGACCCATCTCCATGCGGTCCTGTTCGGTCTCAGGAGGTTCTCCGGCTCCGAATATCAGAAGCGACTGGGTATGTAACGGTGCTTGAGGTATCAGGCCTGTAAACGGGATCGAGGTAAGCTACCCGATGAAATCTTTCCTGTAGATCTGGAATCATCGATGGACCATTGGGTGCGGGTAATCCAAATATACCAGAGATCATCGTCGTGATGCCGAGGACAAAAAAGTCCCAATGGAAGCCTGCAGGCTTGACAAGCGGGAACTCGGTTGATTGGGCGATCAGAGACTGAGATAACGAGACAAATCAGGATCAGATGCATGGAGGCGGCCGATCCGGAGCTGAACATACCGAGACGTTGTGGCTGGAGAGAAGCAAGAGGCAGATGAGCGTCTTTCCTTCTGGCAGCAGTAGGAACGCTTAGCTCACTCGAACAAGAACAAAATCCAGAGGATTATCGCAAACGGAAAAGCGATCCCAACGTATTTGCCAGGCAGCTCCCAGAACGGGACCACCCAGCTTCGGCCCATAGCGGCCGTAAACGCTCCATTAGTAGGGACCGTCATCTCGGCTTCCTCGGTGTACTGAGCGAACCTGCCCCAGTAGGCGAACCCGGATATGGCGATAATCGTTACTGGCATTCCGTAGTCGGCACAGACTCGGCGCAGGTGTTTGTGCATGAAGGGAGAGTGGAAGAGGAGGTCGAAGAGGTGAGGAATAACGCAGGTGAGGACCGCGAGACTAAGGGCGCCAAGGCAAGACATAAGCAGTCAGCCCGCTGACGAGATTCGAGTGTCGCTGCCTAACGACTCACAGAATGCCGAGGAAAGCAGCAGTGTCTTCCGACTGGTGGAATTGACGGGTAACAACCTGGATCCCGTACTATAGAATCGAGTGATTTGAGCCCGGCGCTTGGGAGTTGTCTGGTCGAGGTTCCACTTACTTGGACTGATAAGGCGAGTAGAACCATTTAGCGAGCTGACCGACGTGATTTTGCTGATGTGTGGACGATACTCACGGTACACCATGGCCACATAAAACCCGAACGTCTCGCAAGGAAATTTTGTCACATACTTCAACAGCGCACATACTAAACAGCCCGGTCGCCATTTATCAGCTTGTACATTGAACCTTGCGTTGGAGAGATAGGGCGGAACTTACCGTTCAAAAGCGCCGATACCCAATGCAAGATCGCGGCCCACATGTAGACCCAACCGATGAACTGCAGGTAGTCGAACCCATCACCAGGGCTCGCTGCACCGTCCCGGACAAAGATGTCGTAGATCGTCTTGTTGAAGATTGTGATTGGTCCGGTGACCCCGGAGATGAGTAGGGGCTGACATGATAGCAGTGAGGAAGCGGCAGCGGCAACGAACTGCAGAATTATCGGGAGGTCGGGATCTTGCGGTTAACAGCCAACAGACGAGATACTGGTGTAGGTATCACTAGGCTTACGGTAGCGAGTAGTACTTCTTGAACCCCCGTCTGACCTGTAGATTCCACTAGGTCCAGAGCGAATGCGATTCCGGGAAGTACCTGCTCTCAGGGTCCGCTACATGGGCTTTGCATATTCTCCAGAAGGGCACGATCAGCCACTTACGTTTACAAAAAAGATCATCTATTCAGGAAATCACAGAGATCAGCCAACCTTTCCGAGTCGAACACTGGGTAGTGATACACTCACAAACGTAGCCGGCACGACTCGGTAATTCCAGGCGTCTTTCCAATCACTCGCAAAGTAAGGTATCCGGCGCTTTACATCCAGGTACATCCCCCTCCCGACCCATTTGTACCAAAGCAATCTGCGATCGATTTTCGGCTGTCTGGACGTGGTCGTAGTCTCCGATCCCGATGGCGTCTCTGTCATCACCACTGGAAGTTGATCTTCCTGGCCACTCGAGCGTATACGATCCATCTTCAAGATCCGTAGGGTTTGCTCCCGTAAATGGCGTGAAAGGTAGCAGTCGAACAGGCTTAGCCGAAATGTTCAGGTCTTTGATAGATCGTTTCGGTCGAACGCGCTCTCAGTTGTTGCATGAACGATACCCACTCGATAAAGCTCCATCGCCACAAGCACTTCTGAGTATCTATATGTTCAATAGAATCAGACCGACGAACCCAAAGACTTGGCGATTTGGTGACTTTTTCTGCCGAGCCGGTCATGATCCAGCGGAAGCTTTTTAAAACGGGATCTTGCACGGGTACGCAATGGCGAAAGTGCAAGCCAGGACAATGCCCGGGGTGGCGGTAGCGAGCAATTGTTCAATGGTCATCGACTCATGTCCTGAGGCAAATATACAAGGACTTTTCCCGGGAATGCAAGCGCGGGAGCAGCCGAGCGGGTCTTACCAGGCTCATGGCTTTCAGCGATATTGCTGATACGAAGCGGTTGATTGTTGCTGCTGATATGATTGTTGGAGACATTGTTGCGGCTGTTGGTATTGTTGTTGATGGCCCTGTCGCTGTTGGTCTGAATTATGCGACGGTTGTATCTGTTCTTGCTGCTGCACCACCTGGTACGACCCATCGTTTATCCATAGAGCCGGATCCAGCATAGCTAGCGTATCGACGTCCCATTCGGGGGTTTCAAAAGAGTTGATATCGAAATCAGCAAGGTCGGCCGGGGGCATCCAGGAAGACGAAGTTGAAGGATCCTGTGGCAACGACGACATCGGTGCCGCTACGGTGGGAGGAGCCAACGCCGAGACGTTCCACCGAGCAAGTCCGGGAGGTGGTTGTATAAAGGGAGGGTTCGCCTCGTTGTCACCGAATTGAAATACGCTGGGTTCAATCGTCCCGGTCCCGATAGGAGGTGTATAGCCAGTAGGAAAAGCAGCCATAGGCATGCTATAGGGCAGCTGGAAACTCTGATCGGGCAAATAATACGGTTGCGACGGTCCTGTTTCTTGTCGTGGATGTGCCGGGGAGCGGATCTGTTGTATCGGAGTGGCCGCAGAAGGCGCGATGGACCCAGTTTCCGGCTCTTCTACCGAGCCGTAAGGATTCACCGTCCCGAACGACTCAGCGAGATCGACAACAGGTGGGTCCGCATGTCCCTTCAAGCCCTCATCACGTTCCTCACTCGAGATCTCTGGCGGGTTCTTTGCGATGTATTGCGCCGTAAGCTGTTCCAACAGCTCATGCTTCTGCTGTGCCGCAGGCCAAGAGGCAGCCATGGTCTCCATCAGCCGGGTACACTCTTTCGCCCTAGCGAGCGCCTCGAGTTGTTTGCGCTGCGTCCGCGCACATGTGTAGGCGAGCAAGTGGGTGGTTCCGGCTGTAAAGCAGCTTTCGAGGATGCAGGGCGGTGCGAAGCGGAGGTCGTGGAGTTTGTGCCATGTCTGAAGTAGGGATCCGATTTGCACAGCAGCTCGATCGCATTGCTTAGGAGCGAGGCGAAATGAATCAGCATGGCATGCTGGCAACTTTGAGAGAAAAGGTCTTACCTTGACGGCGAGCATAGCGTTGTGATTCGATGCAGGCTGTTCTCCATTTCCAGTTGTGGGCAAGTTTACGAGCGGGCGGTAGAACGGCTTGTGGAGCATGATCATGAACGAGGCCCAACTTATGTGCATGGTCAAGATGTGCGGAAGGGCGCTCCGGATCGAATGACTGTTCAGCTTGAGGGCAGGCGGCAAGGCCTCCAACCAGGTACTGAGACTCAGGCTAGCGACAAGGACGATGGTATTAGCTTCATGCAGTCGTATCGAGCTGATTCCGACTCGCCTAATATCACTGATGGCTCCAGAACGACTCAGTGCGACGAGGTCTGCTGTAATACCATAACTGCCGACGGACCTGGGATTAGAGCGGTCACGCAGGATGAGTCCAGCCTGAGCCGACTCACAGAGTATTGAGGATCTTGTCTCCGATAGCCATGAGTTTGACGGTCTCTACAAAGGCCGAACTGATCATCCCCGGTTGACTATCGAGCGCGAGTCTACCTGAAGGGGCCACCCAGGGCAATTGATCGAGGTTGGTGTCGATCGAGGGTGGAGTGGTACTACCGACGAACGGGACGAGAGTATTAGGGGTGTTTGGTTTTCTAGCGAGTCAAGAACCTCACGTATGAGCGGGCCAATTGACGGGTCGTCCGATATAGGGCGCCCAAAGTCCTTCTTGTACGAAAGTCATCCAGTAGGTAACGTTTCTCTGTAATTAGCGATGACATGCGACAATAAAGCACCGTCAGCGCACGAATCCCTCCATCCAAAGTTTCCGATACTATACTTACATCTCTTGCCTGCACCTCGGTCAACCTGCCGCTCCGCACGAGCAGCGCCGGATCGACATTCAGCCCAACTGTATAAATACCGAGCATTGTCAGCCGAGCAATGCATAACCATCTCAAAGGCTACCCCCGACGTGAACTCACGTGTCAATCCGCACCGTACGGCCATCCCGATTTGTAACCACCCAAGGTTATGTTCCGCCATCAGGTTGTGATGTGAAGCTAGATGAGCCAATGCCTGCACGGTGGCCACGCTGGGGTTCATCCCTTCGGTCCGCATGTGTTTCTTGGCCTCGTCAGAGAACTTGCGAAGGGTGTCCAGAGAAGAGAGGTCGTGGTTGGAATGGGAGGAAGAATGGGAAAGGAAGCGGAGACCGATCGAGAGGATGGCATTGTGCAGCATGGGCGAGTAGTGGGCCGTCCGTGCGCGGGCTGAAGAGGATGAATAGGAGGTGGATGCAGGAGAGAGGGCGAGTTGCATATCGGTACGGAAGTGGACCGGATGAGTCTGTTGACCTGCGAAGTAAGATCGTAAATCAAAATAGTAACTCAAACTCAATTAGCACACAGTCTCGCTTCCGATCAAGACAGGGAACGACTCACCCCACGAAGCATGGTACCGGAAGAACTGATCCAACGCCTCATCGTGTTCTTCCCTAGAGATGACGACGTCTCGAGGCAGGTAACGCCGGAAATCCATCTCCCCACCAATGTTCCGAAGCTGGAGGTCGAGATGGTCCTCCCCAACAAGCGCAAGTGACTGGGACGAGCCGGGGTTATCGACCTCCTGCCCTGTTCTGGCACGAGCTGTACCAGAACCTGGATGTGGACTAGATCCAGGGGCGATCTTGATCCTGGTCGCCCGACCGCCTGTCGTGCTCGTGCCGATACCAGGAGCCGGCCGGATAGGTTCCTCCGTCCCCGGTCGAGCGTGTTCTCGCTCCCTTTCCCGTTCGACGGACGATTGACGCAAGGCGACTAGGTGACGCAGAGAAGAGGTCGGACCGAATACTTGGAATTCGCCAGTCTCGTTCTCGACCTGTAAAATAAAAGTCACCGGGGGGAATATGAATCGAGATGCAACGAGGTGAAATCGGAAGACTAGGTCAACGATCGCGAGCATGATGTGGATTTGATATTCGAAGGCGGAGGGGATCGGGACTCACCAAGTGGCTGTTGGGCCAATCGTCATGCTCGACCTGGTCCTGATCCTCGGGCCGTCGTTGTTGCTGCAAGACGTCCGCCCCGTCCATCCCCACGCTGACTTCGATCGCAGGTCTAGCTTTAGCTCCGGGTCCACGTTTATCCGTCGCATCACCCCGTTCCATCATCGGACTACCACCACTGGTCACCTCCTCCTTCCCACTCCCGCTATAACCAGCGTTCACATCATTCCCACCGTCTAAATTTGGGATTATAGGGTTAGGGGTTAGGGGTTAG